ACTGTGGGAGTTAGTTGTCTCCAGGCAGAGACCTTGGGGCCGGCCGAGACGGAAGGCAAGTCTGTTGCCAGGGTCTGGGGCTCACGAAGGCTGGACAGGAAGTGGGCGCGTTCATCGCCGCCCCCTCCCGGATTCAGGAGCAGGGATTTCCCCACATCAGGGTCTCCCTGAGGGTTCAGGTCCCCTTGCCCTCCCCCTGCAAAAGCAGTGCAGTGTGTTCGGAAGAGTCCTGGGCGGTCAGGGGACCCTGCTTCTCATCCCAGCTGCCTGTTGGCTGACGGAAGGACCAAGCCTACATGCAGTGGCCACTCTGGGCCTCGACTCGCCTGTCTGGGGAGTGAGAGGGAGGTGGCCATCACGTTCTCTTGGCGCCCACGGCAGGGCAAGTGACACTCAAGCTTGTTTCTCACGGTGTCATTCTTGTTTCTCACGGTGTCATTCTTCTCCCCAACTAGCCTGGGAGCTCTCCAGGGCCAAGATGGTTCTGCTGTGTCTCCGTGACCCCAGCATGGGGCTAGCTGGACGCATAGGAGCTCAGCACCCAAGATCTGGATGCACTCCCAAGTTCTCCGACCTCTAAGAGTCATTCCTATTTCCTCCCCGCTCTCTGTGCCCTGACGTGCGACACAGAGGGGCCACGTGCAGACTTGTAGAGTGGGCTACCCAAGACCCCCCGCTCTAGAATCAGACTTTGAGGCCTGCTCCACCGTTGAATCACTGTGTAGTCCTGGCGAGCGACTCTACTTGCCATAACATAGAGCACTTGGCCAGCTTCACGGGAGGAGCAAAGGGTTAGATGCGCCAGAGCAGATCAGGGCCACACTCCCTGGTACTGTCGCCGTGACTGGGCCTGCTCTGGTGGTGAGAGAACGGAGTGCAGTCAGCGGTAGGGCTAGGATTTGAACCCAGTTCTTTCCAAACCCTACTTCTTTTTCTAAAATAAATGTGGATGGGCTGGAGTTAGGAGATGAGGCTCAGCCACCAACTGGTTCCCTGCCGTCTTGGGTCACCGTCTTCTCCCCTGTAAATAAGGACATTGGAGGAGGTGACGACAGACTCTGTCGGAGCTGCCCAGCAAGCAGGTGACCACTGTGCAGGTGTGGTTCTCCCTGAGCTCCTAGAAAGGACTCCAGCCGCCCTGGTCCAGCCCGGAGTTCTGTGCCTCAGGTGTCTTGTCTGCTCTTCTCACCTTGTCCTGGGAGGGTTACTTAGGCAGCTCCTGCGACAGAAATCTTCCAGTGTGCATGGTGGTGAGATGGGCTCAACGGAGCTGGGCTCAGAGGCCCGTCCTAGCCAAGTAGGCTTCCAGATGTGCCTATTCTGGGTTCCTCAAAAGCCTCAGCAAGTGGAAGCCAGGAAGGCCCCCAGGGGCGTTGTCTTGTGTGGGAAAAGGATCAGCGTTTTCAGCTGTGAGACCCCTTCCCCCTCGCCCCTCCCCCACGGCCCCTCTGCCTGCCCCGTCCACTCAGACTTGGGGGAAGAGAGAGGCCTCTGGCACAGCAAAGGTCAGAGTGCTCAGACAAGATCCTTTCTTGTCTGTCTGCCTCCTGCGTAGCCTTTTGCCTGAGTGAGTGATGAACTGAGAAGACCATAAAGTCCAACTCTTTAAAGCTACCTGGAGGTCTCTTGCTGAGAACACAGACTGAGAGGGAAGACGAGACCACTCTTTATGGCCGGGGTCCTCAAACTTTTTAAACAGGGGGCTGGTTCACCGTCCCTCCAACCGTTGGAGGGCCAGACTATAGTTTAAAAAAAGCTATGAACAAATTCCTATGCACACTGCACATATCTTATTTTGAAGTAAAAAAACAAACGGGCAGAAACACCGGCATGTGGCCCGCGGGCCGTAGTTTGAGGACGCAGGATTAGGCCTGCTGTATGGCCTAATGCAACACAGGGCAGCAGAGCCCGTGCCGCCTCCCGGAGACGGGCAACTTGTCTGTCAGTTTTGCAGGAGCACATGTTCCCCCAAACACGGCTCCACACTCTGTGCGGGGTTCTCACCTTGGTGCTGTGTGGTCTGGGGACGCAGCACAGACACGGAGAATGTGGTGATAGAGCTCCAGGCCAGGTGGAGGTAGCGGGCACACAGAGGCGCTTTGTGTGGACGTGGGCGGCCCACTAGGAAATGGCAGGTGTTGGGCTCTTTGGAAAGAAAGCTCCCTGGCCCACAGCCCTGGTGGCGCTGGCATCAGTGCCAGGAGGAACGTCAGCAGAGCCGGCCAGCACATGACGGGGCAGAGGAGCTTCGCGGTGGGCGTGAGCGTCCTCGCCTCTGTCAGCGCGGCAGTGGGATTTTCTCTCGGTGGTGGTGGTGGGGACTGGCGGGCCAGGGCCAGGATTCCCTGGTTCTCATTTTTCCACACCCCGGTTCCAAGCCTGAGGAGACTCCAGAGCTGCGTTCCCTCCCTCACCTTTAACAGCCAACTCCCCACCACTCCCACAGGCCAGAGGTGTGGTCAGGGCTGGGCGGGCTGGGCCGGGACGACTGCTCGTGGGCATGTGTCAAGAGCAAGCTCCGCTCATTCAGGGACCAGCCACTGAGTCCCACGGGGAGCTTCCACGAGGCACGCACACCAGCCCTGCCCTCTGAACCGCAGGGGACCTCTTGGGAGGGGTCCCAGGCCCTGGTCTGGGTGTTGGCCCTTTGCAGAGATGGCTGCCCACTGAGGCCCCTGTGTGCCAGACACTCTCGGGTGCCGTGCGTGTGTGTTCTCTAACCAGTCAGCGGGTTGGCTGCCGCTGACCGCCTCCGACCACCGGGCGCACAGGCGTGAGGGAGCCCAGAGCCACGCCGCTGGCCCTGTGGAGGCACTCGCTTACCGGGGACAGAGGGAGAAGGCGCTTCCTTCTTGCCAAGAGCCGAGGAGCCGACAGAAGGCCTTTTGCCCCCTTTTGGCAGCTGGACCTCACCCTTGAACCTTCCTCCTGCATTCTCTTTATATTTCTTTTTCTGGGAGTTGGCTTCGAATTATCTTGTTTTGTTTACATTACACCCAAGTTTCGTGGTACAAAAGACTTGCAGGTGCAAATATGTCCCGCCTTCATTAACTTCCCCTCCCTTTTTAATTTATGTGATTTCAATTTTCCTTCCCTGTACTGTTAATTAGGGGACCCTCTAATCAGTGCCATTATCACAGTGGTATTCATGTTTAGGAAAGCCGCTAAACAAATGCTTGCAAAATTGCTAAATGGCTAATTAATGTCTGTTAATTAAGAAAATTGCTCATGGTAACAAACCGTGCCGTTGCTGGCAGCCGCTAGAAAGACACACACTTGTTGAAATGAGTAGCGTGGCAGGTAGGGGAACATCTGCTCCTCGGAGCTTTCCGGAAGTGAGCAGCCCCTCGCTCGGCCAAGAAACTCCCAGGCCTGTCGTCAGTAGCTCCCTCAGTTTCCTGCACAGGCCCCTGTGACGTTGCGTGCCTCCCCCTCCCCCCGCTCTGCGCTCAGCCTCCTGGAGCAGGTGCTGGTGGCCTGGCCCCAAGGGAGGAGACCGGGGGAACCTCACCTGTGTGTCTCCCTCTATCTTTTCAGTTTAACCACATCCATTGCCCATGCATGTTTTCAATTTTTCTCAAAAGCAAGCTCCAAGGATAACAGCACCATCTCGAGTAGAGAAGAGTGCACCGGGGCCTGGGGCCTGGGGCCTGGCTCCTGGTCCCCCGCACGGGCATCCACTCGAGTGGCCAGTGTGGCCACAGGAAGCCTCCTTGGCAGGCTCCTCTCTCTGCTCTCTGGCCCGCAGTGGGAAATGCCTTTGGCATTGTGACCCAGTCTACACACACACACCCCTTATGTTTACACGTGGAAGAGAGGTTCATGAACTATATCTGCCTTAAAATACACAGCGCTCTCTGATAGCTTCTATTCTTTTTTTATCGATTCAGGTTTTTAAAAAATAATGGTTAGAATGTACTGAATTGATTTCACCACCCACTAAAGGGTTTTCACCTGCCTGTCTCTTCTTGGGGGAGTCGAGGTCAGCTCAGCCCAGGGCTTTGGGGGTGTGGAACAGGGTTCAGCTTGGAACAGGGGTGGCTCATTGCTGGCTGCTGTGGGGGGTCCGGCCCCTCCAAGCACCTCCCCACCCAGCAGTCGGGTCTCCTGCCCTGTCCCCGGCCCCTGGGCTGCAGGGGCGAGGGGGGCCTCGGGCCCCTTGGGCTTCTCCTCCTGGCTCTGCCAGTTGTGTGGTCATTGCCGAGTCCCTTTGTCCCTCGAGACTCAGTTTCCTCATCGGTAAAAAATCGGAGTGAGAACCCCCACCTCACAAGGCACGTGTGCTGTGGGGCGGGGCCGCCTGCACTGGGAGGGCAGCGGGCAGTGTCGGATCTCCCGCCTGTGGGTGGCGCTGGCTGCCCCTGCCCCTGCCCCTGCCCCTGCCTCTGCCCCTGTTCTCACTCGGCCATCAGTCAGTGCCCCCGCCCTGCTGCCCCTGGAGACACATCCCCCACCCCTGGGCCTCTCACCCACCCGGATCAGTCCTGCCTTGAATTACACCCACGTGTCTGTCCCCCCCAGACTGTGAGCTCCTTGAGGGCAGGGGCCTTTCCGGGTCCCCCCACACCCCCACAGGCGGCACTTATGCGCCCTGCGTTCGGGCCTGGGAGGCGTCAGCGCCCTGTTTCTGTGTGTCCCCGTGTTCTCTCAGCCTGTGTCAGCCAACGTATTTAACATGGCAAACTCCGCTCACACGGCGGACCGTGTCCGGGACCGTGCTCCTGTGTGCTTTGACAACGGTGCTTCATTTCAGTTTTTGTCCTCTCCCCCCCTGTGAGTGCATTCTCAGCTTCCCTCGCTCGTGCTCGCCGTCTTAGCCACCGAGCCGCTGAGCCGGCGACCTCGGCAGCAGCCCCGCCACCTCCCTGCCAGCCAGCGCCCGCCTCCCGCACGCCCGCCGCCCGCCCTTCGTTTTGGTTTAATTTTTGTTCTTTTAAGCTTCTTCTGCGCTTCTCCGTGTGCTGTGACCTATAACCTGCCTCTACTGTCTGGCCTCACAGGGTCCTCCGGGGTCACAGCCCTCGCCGCACGCACAGCCTCCACCTCACAATCCCAGCAGCATGATGGGACCCCACAGTCAGGTAAACGCGCCGAGGCCGGCCCGCCCGCCGGGGGGCGCGGGGCACGGAGGAAGCAGAGAGCCAGCAGAGGAAAAACAAAAATCACAACGTGCTCTAGCCATTGCCTTTCAGTCGTTATTGACGAAATTGAATTTAAAAAAAAAAAAAAAATTTCCCCCCTCTAAAGAGAGTCTTCATTCCTTGGACATCACACCCGGCTTGGATATGAAACCAAAAGAAAAGAACAAAAGTATTTCTGTGACCTTGTCAGTGGCCTTTGCGTTTTTGTTTTTTCCTCTCTCACTTTTGGTTTGGATTTTGAGTTTGGTTAACCATCGTTTGTAACCGAAGCTGCACCCCTAGCCTTTTCTCTGTGCACTCCTGCTGCTGAGAAAGCTTTCCTGCCCGTTCCCCCGCGCTGAGTTAGGAGCCCGCCGTCTCCGTCCTGTTTCCATCGTGTGCCCCCTCCAGCCCTCGCTCCCCTCCCGCCCCTCTGTCCGTGGTTTCTGTGCGTGTGCGCGCATGTCCGGCCTTGTCTGCAGACCCTCACAGCGTGACGTGTGAGTCCTTTCCCTTATTCTTTTGTTTGCCCTTACCGAGAGCGGGTTTCCTCCTTTGCCCTACACTGACCTAACTGTTCTTCTGCGTCTTGTGCAAAGTCCCAGCCGCTACCCCTCCACCCAAAGTAGATCTCTGCGAACAAGCGTGGAGTTGGGAGACACAGTTGTCGTGTGCATCTGTTGTTCCCTCTGCCCAGAGAAGTTTTGCCCGGAGGGAAGAGGCTACCGGGAGAAAGAGAGCTTAAAAGATGCTAGTGGAGTGGAGAGTGTTGGTGTTTGTCAGTGTGCAGTGGGGCAGGCTGTCATTGAACTAACTCCCTGTAATTGCAGCCTTTTATGTCACCGCGATACGCAGGCGGCCCCAGGCCCCCGATCAGAATGGGAAACCAGGTACTGTACTTTTTCACGTTCTCTCTCCCCTCCCCTCATGCATACTTGGCCTTAGGTGAACTTTGACTCTCATAAAAATTGGGGGACAGAATTGAAGGGGTGGAGGGACAGCTTTCCCTGTGTCCCCTCTGTGCCATGGTGCAGCATTCACCTGCCTCTCCTGATGGGAGTTGGGCAGCCCGTGCCGGAGTTCAGGGGGTGGCAGCAGACGCAGCCAGGGTGGGATCACAGGGTTCCGGCTGTTCTAGAGAAGGTGGCAATATCGCTCCCTCCCAGCCCCTCCTTGGAAGAGGGTCTTTCTTCTTCCTTTATGAAGTTCATTGGCAACGTGCATTTTTTCCTGGAAACTTAGAGAATAGCCAAGACTGGTAGATAGAATCCTATTAGTGGGTGAAATGGCCCATAGGAATGCTTAGATCAGGAGCCTGGATGTAGCTGAGCAAGACTTTTGTGAGTTTTTCGACTTCCCAGACCCAAGTCAGAACAAGGAAGGGTTTATTCACATAATGAGGGAAATGGTCTGCTTATGGGGAGGGCGTCTCACCCTGGGGTCCTGTGCCCACACTGGCCCCTGAGGGTGGGCAGTTCTGGGGGTCTGGAGAAATCGGCCCCCTGCTGTCCTCCTGGTTCAGCCCATCCAGGGCGGGAGGAGAGGTGAAGATGAACAGAAACCTCCTTCGAGGATAGCCAGACTTAAAAGAAACTATAAAGAAGCATGAGGGAAATTTCTTTTCATGCCAAAATATCTTTTTAACAGAATTTTTTCCATGACTTTGCAAAAGCCCTTCCAAAAATCTGACAGCAACACCAGTGCAGACAGCCCTTGTTGCCTTGGGAGCTCTGGGGGTTTGGTCACAAGATTGGCGTTACCGGGTGCGATTCTTTCTGTCCTCGAGGCTGCAGGAAAGCCCCTAAGCAAGACGGTGCAGGGACAGTGGGGAGATGTTCACTCGTGACCAGGGCCTCCAGTTCTAATGTGCATTTGCCTAGCAGGTGTCCACTTTTTTTTTTTTGGTCCAGAAGTTCTTTGTTTCCTATTTTCTCGGACACGAAGGGGGCAAATTTGAACAAGAAGAATTAGCCAGCTTTTTGAGCAAGAAGGGATGCTTGGATATGTCACAGAGGAGGGAATGGAGGCACGACTTTCCAGAGTCTCTCTGTGAGCTGGGCTGGAGCCGGTCCTGGTCCCGGTCGTGGCCTGAACTGAACGTGCTCCCCCCACCCGTTCTCGTGGCCTCCGCGGCTGCGAGGTGCTGCCTGCCTTGTCTTTAACCCTGCACCAAGTGGGCCTCCTTTGCACACACGGGCCCCAGCAGCCGTGCTCCCTGGTTTAAACTGGCCTCCAACAGGGAGAGAGCAGCTACTTCCTTGTCGTAATTGTGGCCCTTCCTCCAGCAATTAAGGGACATGGAGAAGGAGTGTGTATGTTTCTATTTAGCAATAATCAAACATGTGCAAGCACCCAGGAGAGCGAATGGAGGATAAATCCATCATCTGCCCCTTGCGTGACAAACCAATTGCCCAACCTCCCTGCTCACCCTCCATCAGAAATCTACATCCAGTTTCCTGTGAGCTCAAGACATTTTTATCCTCCAAAGAGGGATGTGCCCCTTGCATAGGTATTGCCCCTGCAGGTGTCTTAGTGCTGAAGTTGGGGCTGCCTGTTGAACAGAAGCCCCTGTGCACCGAGTTAGCTGGGCTTTCTCCTGTGACAGGTGTGGGGACAGAGACAGGAGGACCTGCCTCCTATGTGAGGAGGATGAAGAGGGCACTTAGGGAAACAAGAAGCTCAGGGTCATTGACATGGCCTCAAAGTTTTGCTAGGCCAGCCTCCCTCCCACCTGCCTCCCTAGCTAGAGGTTTGGAGCTGTATGGAGAGTGTTGCTTTTTCTTTCAAGCAGTGGTGGCTGAGTGGGTGATGAACACCAGAGTTTGGCTAGGTTTAGGGGAGGAGGGGCTGGAATCTGAGGTTGTCAGAGAGCGCCCCCCCCACCTCCACCTCCATGCATGTGTCAGTAGAGTTCCTCCGGCCAGGCAGGTGAATGAGAGTGCAGGTGCAGTGGGGATTTGTCCATTTCCAGGACAGGTGCTTCCTGTGCCTTGCCCCACGGTGCTGTAGGAGAAGAGCTGGCCTGCTTCCAGGAGCATGTGTGACAGCCCCAGAGGACCCTCTCCCTGCAGGCCCTGGGGGTGCGCAGTGTGCTTACAACCCCCTCTGCGAGCCATTGTTTTTCTACTTTCTTGTGTTTGAGGGCTTCAGCCTTCTCAATGCAAAACCCCTTTTCCTAGGTCATTGTGCCCCTTCCTTCCCGTCCCTATCTCAGGGGTCATCTCATGAGTGAAGTGACTTTTAGGCCCCCTGTGAGCCTCTAGATAGCCCAGCTTTGCTCCTGGATTCTGGCACACAGCAAACCAAGGAGGAGCTTTCTGCAAGAACCGGTGGTCAACGTTGGGCTACCTGCAGAGGGAGGGATTGCCCAACCCCCACGGGTTGGATGGGGGTCGTCCTGCTCTGGGTAACTCCTGATCCTGAAGATGCCTATCCACGTCAACATCCCCCAATCCAGGCAGCTTCGGAGGCTGGTCCTCCTGGATCCAGGCTCTGTAAAAACCCCAATCCCCCAGTGGACGGACCAGCCAAGTGATGCAGAGCTCAGGAACTCGGGGCCAGGAAACAGGGCTGGGAGAAAGAGGGAGGTCAGAACAGCTAAAACCCAGGGATTGGAAGTCAGACGCTAAGCGCCCCAAGCAGTGGCAGCAGCGGGTGCCCAGTGCTACTTGGTGGACATCAGGCACTCCCCAGGCTTGTGTGTGTGGCCCCCAGGCAAGCCTGCCTGACTGCCGTGCCAAAGCTAGGGGGCTTTCATTTGCCGCCACTTTGCCCTCTTTGGGCACAGGGCAGGTGAGCTGCCCACTCAGCCGTCCCTACAGCGGCACAGCCAGGGCTGGGGGCCCTGGGGATGGACCGGCCCCTGTCACAGGTGCCCAGCCTTTGAGTAGCACTGGCAGTGACAGATGGGGAAAGGTGACTGGCTGTCACCAGAGGCTTTTCTACCAGAGCTCACGTTTAGTCCTAGGGTTGAGGCCTTAGAGACAAACTCCCTTCAGTGACCATTACTCTGTCTCTTCGAGTTGCAGATGAAATAACTTCAGTCCCAAATAAATCACTTTTAATAGGTTTTCACAGCAGGTGTGCCAGGTGTGCCCAGGAAACCCATGGCACCCTGTCCTCACCTTCTTAGCAGTAATGGCACCAGCGTCTGCCACTTGCACCGGGCTCTGGGCATGCCCTCGCTGCTCTGGGCTGCAGTGGCGTCCCATGTGGAGGAAGCTGGCGGCAGTTGCCTGGGTGCTCATCTGGCCCTGCTGATGTGGGCCTGTGGGCCTCTAGAACTCAATTTCCCCTTCTAAATCTCAGTGGCCTCCTCATCCCTTGCTCCCCTTTAAAAAGGGCTTCCTGTGCTGATAGGATTTTAGCTACTGGGTCTCCTAATCCCTGAAATTCGGAGGTGGAGATAAAACAAGTTATGTCTCTGTGAGGAAAATGACAGTTGGGGTTTGGCATTAATGGCACTGGCTGGGGTTCGGGTGGACAGGAGGGAGTGGGGCCCAGAGAATGCTCCTGCTCTGATAGGCACACAGACCCGCCTTGGCAGCAGGTGGAGCGGGGGCCCCTCTCCCACAGAAGCAGCCCCCAGCTCGAGCTGATGAGCTGACGCTGCAGCCAGGGTGACCAGGCAATAGGCATGGCCCCAGGCGGCCAGGAGGGGAACTAGGTGAGACAGGTGGATGCCTCTGCCCCCGTCCTGCGCCTCTGGGGGCAGCACTCAGCTTGTGTCCGTGTCTCTTTCAGCCTCCGGGAGGAGTTCCTGGGACGCAGCCATTGCTGCCCAATTCCATGGACCCCACACGACAACAAGGTAGGGAGGGCAGCTGGGGCTGGGGTGGCCTTGGTGTTGGAGGGGCTCCTCTTCCCTCTACTTGTGCCACTGCATGACTCACATCCTCTCTCTCACAGGCCACCCCAACATGGGAGGATCCATGCAGAGAATGAACCCTCCCCGAGGCATGGGGCCCATGGGTCCTGGCCCGCAGGTAACCGACCACCTGTCTTGTCCGTCTGTCTCCCTGGCCATCTCTCTGTGTGCCCCCGCCTTCTCTCCTCTTGCCACAGTCTGTCTTCCCTGTCTCCCGGCTGAAGGGGTGAGAGGGAGGGCATGTCCCCATCCCCAGCTCCCCCTGCACCCATGGCAGGCTGACCTTACTTAGCAGGCAGAGTTGAGGGGCCCTGGGAGCTGGGGGAACGGAGTCTTCTGGGGGGGCCTTCTAGTTGGCAGATTCTTCCTGGGTGGGATGTCCCAGCACGGGGTTTGAGGACTTTGAAATATTGTGGGGGGCTCCGGGAGTCCCAAAGCTGCCTCTCACCCTGGTGGGGCAAACTCGAGGGGCTCAAGAGGCACAGTCTGTTGGGACCTAGAGGCGGGGCAAGTGAGTGGCGGTCCTAGCTCCACCTGCGACTCACCATTTGTCCTTAGACGAATCACTTTGACCTCTGTGGGCCCCAGCAGGCCTCAGTTTCCTCACGTGCCAAATGAACGGTGAGTTTGTATCCCTGTTTCTCAGAGGGCCAGGCCCCCAACACCTACTCACCCCACAGCCTTAGCCAGCGCCATCTGCCGGGCTCCTGCCTGGGCCTCCATTGCCAAAAAGGGCCGTGTAGAAACCTCTGGAAGAAACTATTTCCAGTGTCCTTTTATACCTCTTTACAATTACAGCCAAGTAGTCACTCCTTGTGACCCAGCCCCACACCCCACAGGGAAAGAACATCCAGGGAAGGGGCTGGCGGGCTGTTCTGCTCCCGAACCTTCTCACAGTTGCTGCCACCCTCTGAGCATTTGCATGTGGTGTTTCCTGTAGTAAGGACTGCAGAGGGTTTGCTGTGTTCCGCCCCCCTTGGGAATTCTCCAGACCTTTATCTGAAAAGGGCTAGAAGTCTGAATAAGGGGAGGGGGATTCCTCCGTTTGAGAGCAGGAGGGTTTGTTCCCTCCCTTGCCTCCCCTGCCTGGGGGTCTGCCGCAAGGTCTCCCCCTTCTTTGCTGGTAGGCGTTTGGGATTCTCTGGGTCCTCTCTACAGTTTCCGGTCCCCCTGGGGGTGGAGTAGTACCCCCACCCCAAACACACACATACTCCCTCCCTCCCTCCCTTTCGTAGGGACAGGGGTCTGCCCCCCAGCCCCGCAGTCCTGCTCCATCCCGGGACTGTTTACAGCAAACCCAGCCCCCAGCAAACCCACCACATCTGTGCTGTTGAAAGATTCTAGGGCGGTCCCTATCTTCTGCGGCCTGTAATCCTGAAAGGAAACAAGCCCGCAGCAATCGCAGCTCCAGTATTTTATTTCTTCCCTTTTTCAAATCCCCCAGAGTCCGTGTTTTCACCAACTCCTTTTAAGCTGCCAGAGCAGCTCCTTCCTGCCGGTGGTCTTGAGCTGGCCCTGCCAGGCTGCCTGCCTGGGGGGGGTGCAGGGCCCTCATCTGAGCCCCGGGGCAGTCCCATGTTATTGCTATAGAAACCGGCAGTGGCTTTGGATTTTCAGGATGTCACGGGGGTCTGGTTAATTCAGGAGGTAGAAGCTGAAGGAGAGAAAATTTAATCCCACCACCCACCTCATGAATCTTGGGGGCTCAGCAGTTGTGTCTGTAAAATGGGAACTCAAATAGCACCTGCCCTGTTGGGCTGCTAGAAGGAGAATGCCAAGTTCGTGGTGTGAGGCTGGCACAGGGTAACTAGCTCAGGAAGCAGTTTATGATTTCCAATTTTGGGGGGGCTTAAAACCAGCGTTCGCATCTCTAGTTGCTTGGATTTGGTAATTGCTTTGGGTTTCTTCTTTTTTTCTGGCGAAGTCATTAACAGTTTGTTAAGCCTCTAGCAGTACTGAGGTTCTAAAAGCTGACAATGGATGTTATCAGACTGAGAACAGAATGTTCTGGAAGTTTAGGACTTCCTTCTGGCTTAGTGAGAATCTCATCATGGTGATGCTCCTGGCCAGCAGTCCAGCGCACTCTTTGGCACACCTGAGAGAGGTGAGGGTCCCAGAGCCTGTGGTCTTGAGGGAAGGGGCCTCACCTGAGCAGAGTACAAAGGGTGGAGCTCCCTGGGGTCCCTGGGAGGGTCCCCGAGGGGAGAGAGAGGTGGTACCCAGGGAGATGGGCTGACGACTCTCTCCATCATCACAGGCTCTGAAAACATCTCTGTTTTTTATTTTACTTTATCAATATGGAAACCCTAAGGTGCTTTGTCTCCCATACCCCTCTGGGAAGGGAGCAGTGCTAAATCTCACAGCCAAGCCTCCCTCAAAGCAACCAGATGTCCCCACCAGCCCGTCGCTGGGCACAGTAAGGCCTGGCATTGGCGCAGCACCGGGCCTGGGCAGAGTGGGTGTGGGGTGGATTGCAGGGTCGGGGGCCAGCCGAGGAGTGGGCATCGGGTTATCTTGGGCACAGCAGAGCCTGGAAGTGTTGGACTCCAAGGCTGGGGATCAGGAGAGGGCAGACTCCCCATTCCTAGGCCCTTCGTCCCCCGAGGGTGCTGCCCCGGTCACTCCCAGTGGACGGGAGAGCCGCGAGCGCAGAGCTGGAAAGCATGGCTCTTTCTACAGCTCGGCCGGGTTGGGCCTCCAGCCCCTCCTCTGCAAAATGGGTGTCAGGCGAGGGCTCCTCTCCTCTGTGCAGCGGTGCTGAGGGGTGAAGAAGGCGTCTGGTTAGTGACCACACCTTGTACAGCTTCACCAGCTTCACCTCTAGCGACCCTGTGCTGTGGGCAGGCAGGAGCTAGCAGAGACAGAGCCCATTGCTACTGAGTCTCCGAAACCATGCTTCTGAGGCTGGTGTTTCTGATGTGAACACTTCCCCTGCACACCTGATTTCAGCCGGATCGTCACTACCCACTTACCATGTGACCTTGGGCAAGTCTCCAGCTCTCTGAGCCTCCAAGTTGTCATGAGACCTGGTAGACAAGCTCCCTGCAGGGAAGTGGCTGCGCTGGCTGTTTGGGAGGCTCCGGGGTGCTGGTAGGGTTAGACGGTGCACCCGGAGCCTCCTGGCTAGCAGCTGCACGCTGCGTGTCCAGACGTCTTTCTGGAGTGAGTGTCCGTCTGTCCTCTCCTCTCACTGTGCTCTGTGTGCTGCAGAGTCCTGGGCTTCCACTCTCATGCAGGCTTTTCTCCTGGGTGGGACAGGCAGCTGTGGTCCCAGGAAGAGAACTCCATGTATCTGGGAGACCATTCGGTGCTGAGCTTCCTGTTCTGCAGGAGGGAGAGTGAGGCTGAGACTGGGAGAGGGGATGGAGAGGTCCTACAATGCTACGGCAGCACCCGGGCTTTGGTGTATTCTGCTGCCCATGTGCCCACCTCAGTGCGCACCTCCTTGGGCTTGCACAGCACTTTGGAACTGTCATTGCATTTGATCCCCATGGGGCCCTGTGCGGTTGGAAACATACGGAGCTCTTTGTCCCCATATTACAGACAAGGCAGCGCAGCAGAGGGGTTGTGGCTCTAAAACCAGAGCCAGGCTGCGGGGTTTCCGCCCCGGCTCAGCCACGCAGAGCTGTGCAATGGGGCTGTCACTCTACTTCTGTACCTCAGTTTTCTAACCTCTAAATTGGGGAGAATAATTAGGATTGTTGAGATAATTATATGTAGGTGATATAGCATGGCCTGGCATGGAGTAAGCATTCCCATTGTTGTGTAATTTGCCCAACGTCACCATCAAGTGGCCAGGCCAAGGCCAGCCCTCCTGTGTTCTGACCTCACAGGCTCTGCTCACGCCCCTGTGGCATCTGTCTGTAAAGTGGGCTTGGCCCTGGCACACGCCCCCAAGACAGCCACTGTTTGCTTGAAGGCTGGTGCGCAAGTCTTCCTGCTGCGTGGGGCTCACCCTGAGCAGGCACAGGGTGACGTGAAGATTGTGAGGGCTGGCACCACGGGCTTCTGCAGCCCACCCTCCCCTGGCCCCCCGACTGCGTGTCTCGCTCCTTTCCAGCCAGCCTGGTATTGCTCCCGTCAGTGTCTGCATCCTGCCTGGCATTCTAGATTCAAGCCCCTCTGTGGCTGCCCAAGCATGGCAGGTGGCCCCAAGGGCTGAGATTTGAGAGATGGTCCCTGGATGAAGACCTCACCATAGCCCGATGTTGGCTCTGGGTTTGTCGGCTCCAGCTCTTACTCCTCCTGCTCAGGCCCCTTCCCGTCTACCTCTCACAGATGCGCAGCTGAGAGTATAGACTCCAGGGGCCTGCAGACCCTGGTTTAAGCCCAGCCCTGCCGTTTGCCAACTGCAACTTTAGGCCAACCTTTTCCCCTCAGACCTTGAGTCTTCCTTTCTGTAAAATGGAAACACTTCCAGCCTTGTGGAGTTGTTGTAAAGATCAAATACTCAGTTTCCTATTCTGTAAAATGGGAATAATACCAGCCTTGTGGAGTTGTTACAAGGATCAAATTAGAGGCCGGGTGCCATGGCTCATGCCTGTAATCCCACCACTCTGGGAAGCTGAGGTGGGAGGATCATTGAGGCCAGGAGTTTGAGACCAGCCTGGGCAACATATCGAGACCCGTCTCTACATCAGCTAAAAAGCAATTAGCTGGGCACAGTGGCACATACCTATAGTCCCAGCTACATGGGAGGCTGAGGCAGGAGGATCACTTGAGCCCAGGCATTTGAGGCTATAGGGAAGTATGATCGGGTCACTGCACTCCTCCATCCTGGGCAACAGAGCAAGACCCTGTCTGTCTGTCTGTCTGTCTGTCTGTCTCTCTCTCTCAAAAAAAAATCAAACCAGGGGACTTGTGCTCAATAAATGGTAGCTAATGCAGGCTCTTCCTTGCCATCAAAATCCCGCTAACCCACTTCTTTAGAGTCTCCTACGAGGGCCTAGCTTACGCTGCAGCCACACTCTGGGAGATTGGTTCCGGGCATCGTGGGGGAATGGCTGGGTGGGGCCCTTGGCCCCGAGGGAAGGGCGGGGACAGTGCCACCCTGTGAGCTGGGTCCAGGAGGGCACATGGAGCCCGCCAAGGGGAGCAGGAAGGCCGGGCGGTTATTCCTGCAAAGAAAGTAGCACCTGAAGAGGGGAGGCAGGGCGGAGTTGGGCGAGACACTTGGGCGCCTGCGACCCGCCCACTCTGCCTCCGTGGGTTGTGCTGAGCTGAACCTGGACTCACAGGACTCTCTGAGTTCTGTGTACACTCTTCTCTCAAACAGAATGGATCCCCCTAGGCTTGAAAGTGGGGTTTTCTCTTGCTCCCCAGCACCAAGCCTGTAGCGGGGCCCCGTGCTCACATAGGTGGGGAGACGGCAGGACCTGGGGCAGGGTGGGGTGTTTGTACATGGGGCCCGCCACCCCCGACAGGCTTCCCAGGCGGTCCCTCCCTCCCGCTCAGCCCGCCCTCGCCTCCCCACAGGCCTGCCCCCACTCCCTAAGGGGGTCCCTCCCTCCCGCTCAGCCCGCCCTCGCCTCCCCACAGGCCTGCCCCCACTCCCTAAGGGGGTCCCCCACGGCCGCTCCCTCTGGCTAGAGTGGAGGGAGCCCAGAGACAGAGCAGCTCGCCTGACATCCACGTGTTTTTGAGAGCGTCACCGCCAGGCCCCCGAAGTGCATTGAGTGCTGTGACTGTCCCTCTGTGCTGGCTTGTCATTGTGGTCCCCGCCACTTGGTTCCCCCCCTACACCACCGTTTTTGAAAGAATGTATTGTTTTCTCTCAGATCCTCTTCACAGACTAACCCTCTCGCTTATATTCTGTCTGTCTGTTTTCCCCCCTCCTCTCTCCGGTTCCTTTCTCCTTCTCATAGACTGACCCTTGGTTATCGTTGCAGAATTACGGCAGCGGCATGAGACCACCACCCAACTCCCTCGGCCCCGCCATGCCCGGGATTAACATGTAAGGCAAACGCGGCCGGCCGGCCGGTGGCTCAGGGCGCGTGGCTCCCCCCGCTCCCTGCCGGCACCCCGAGGACTCGGGATAAGAGTCACCGCTGGCACCTCTCTGGACCTCAGTCTCCTGTCGGTAGAGGGAGGGTGTTGGCGGCCCTGGCGGTGAGAGCTCGGCCTCACATGGTGTGCGCGTGTGCCAGGCGCAGTTCCGGGTGTGCTGCTCGGATTGGCTCTCCTAGTCTTCATGAGAACCCAGGGAGGCTGTTACTATTATCCCCCACTGCAGATGAGGTCGCTGAGGCACAGAGAGGTGGAGTGACTTGCCCAGGCTCACACAGCTTTCAGTGGCAGAGTCAAGATTTGAACCCCAGTACAATTAGCCACTGCTCTCTAGTGCCTTACGGGTTTTTAACTCCTTTGTGAGAATCTGTGGACTCCTTTCCTAGGAAAATGCACATGCGTAGGAAATTTTATATATTTAATGTATTATTTTATAAATTGTATATATAATTTAAAGGAGTTCACAGATTTCCACCCAGGGAACTACCCGTTACTACCCCAAGCCACATGGCCTCTGAGGCCCTAGGACGGTACAGAGGACTTCCTGCTACTGATGTCAGCCCTCTCCTGCCCCTGCCACCTCCACCCCTTCACGTTGCTGGCTCCTTTTTCATTGTCCCCATCTCTCTCTCCCTCTCTCAGGGGCCCGGGAGCTGGCAGACCCTGGCCCAATCCTAACAGTGCTAACTCAGTGAGTACCCAGGTCCGGTGGGGCAGGGTTTGTGAGGGGAGGGGTTCTGGGTGCAGGGTAGAGGTGTCCCGGGGAGAGGAGATGTGCAGGATTCCCACTCATGCCTCCAGGGAGGGGGCCCCTGTAGATCAAGGCCTGGGAGTAATGAGCCGCCTGCCCCGCCCACTCCTCAAGGTCTGAGCTGGGTGGGAGAGAGCACTGCTGGGAGTAGAGACTCCTCTGCCTGGGCGGCTGCCACAGCCTCAGAGCAGGGCGTGGGCGGGGGCTCAGCACAGACAGCCAGTGGGAGAAGGGTAGAGGGCTGGGCGAGGCCCTCTTCCCCGTCCTTCCAAACTGGAGGGCCTCCTGCGGCCCCATGGCCCCCTCCCAGGACTGCGGGACTCGGTCCTGCCCCCGGCCCACCTAGGGAAACGGATCAGGTGGCCAGCTCATGGTCCCAAGGCCTTTCCTGTGAAGAATGGGGTTGCGTCCCCATGTGGGTTTAGAAGCTAAGGGGCACTGCCTGTCAGTGGAAGTGACTGACACGTGGCACCCCACATCTCATTTCTAGATTCCATATTCCTCCTCATCACCCGGTACCTATGTGGTAAGTGTGTGGGTTTAGGGCATGCATGTGTAGCCGCCACGTGAGACTGAGCGTGCAAGAGAACTCGGGGTCCCTGTCTCCTTCCCTCTCAGAGCACATCCTGAGCAGAGGTTCCAGACTGCTGGAACTTGCTGTCAATATCCGGGCATCTGTACAGGCCTGGGGTGGCCCAGAAATCCCCAGACAGGACACGGCAGTGGGATTTCCTCCTGGGGAGCTGACCGGTGGGCTGGTCGGCTTCCACTGTGGGCCTCTGGTTTTCTCTGGGTGGCCTGCAGTGCCCCCTGCACGCATGCACACACGTACACCCACAGGTGCCTCCGGGCTTGAAAAAAGAAACGGGGGGATATTAATATAAGTTCAGTTCTCCTCCGGCTTGAACGCCTTGGCTCTGAGCGAGCGCTGGGGGTTGCGAAGGGGGCGAGGGCAGGTGGCCTGGGTGGGCGCTTACTCTGCCTGGGGAAGGCGTGTGGGGCCTCCCCACAAGTGTCATCACCGGGGGTCTGATACTACTTTTTATCTCATCTCCAGGGACCCCCTGGTGGTGGTGGGCCCCCAGGAACACCCATCATGCCCAGTCCTGCAGGTAAGAGCTCTGAGGGGAGCTGCTGTTGGGGCGCGGGGCGCTAGAGAGTCCTGGAGGGCCGGGGTGCAGACCTGCCCCCACCCCCACCCCACCTTCCTGAGCAGCGCATCTCCCCTGCACTGGCGTCCAGGGATTTGGGGGCAGGGCGCCCCTGGTGTCACCAACCCGCTGTGCAGCCTCAGGTCACTCCCCTTTGGTTCTCAGGCACTGCTTCCTAAAGGACAGGGCTGAGCAAAGCAGTCTGTGAACAAGGGGTCACATTGCCCTTGGCTCCCTCTCCTTAGGGAGAGCCCTGTCCGGGGTCGGCATTTCCCTAATGACTTGCAGAGGGGCCTTGGGTCCTAGCATCCTGGGGCCAGGATTCTAAGCACGATACCCTTGGGTTTGTGTGGCTCTTGGCTTCTGGTCCTCTGTGTGGAAGATCCCTTCTCCCTTTCCTTTCATCGAAAGAGGGCATGTGTGCACAGACGTGGGCATATGCACACACGCGCGCACACACACACACAGCACCGCAATTATGTTTCTTCCAGCTAAGAATAGCATACCAGCCAGCTAGAAGGAATCCAACATATGATCCTTACCCGCCCCAAAAATAAAAAGTGAGAGGTAGTTGGATTTCTGCCCGAGAATTACGGTGCCTGCTCCTGATATAAACGTTTTCGCTGATTTCCTACGGAGACTCTGCTGGCTAATTGGGGAGACGGAGGGGACCCTCCCCCACCCCCTCCCAGCTCCGGCTCCCCTCACAGGGGACGCTGCTTGGCTGCCGGGGTGGAGCTGGCGGTGCCGGGATGTTCGGCTCCCGCTTCAGCTCCCTTCCCGCGCTGCATTTTGATGAGCTGCATGACCTACATTCAGACTGGGCCACATGGACCCGCTCCATATGCTAATGTGTCTCCAGCCCGTCCCTGCCTCACCCTCCTGCCCCGTCCGCTTGGCGGGGTGGCCCCGGGGTCATTCACAGCGTTCCCCTTGCCCTGGTCTTTGAAGCCACAGGGAGGAGTGGTGGTGGGGCGAGCCCAGGTGGTGCTTTTGCCGCCCCCACGGTGTCCCAAGCAGTGTCTGGGGACCAGATTTGGTTTGGGGTGGGGAGACGAGAATTCCATCCTGCGGTCCCCCCTTGCCGTGTCCTGCTGCCCGGGTTGAGTGGTTTTCACAGTTGAATTTTCTGTGATTAAAAACTTTGTGAATCTTCATTAAATACAAATTAGCCAGAAAATGGTGGTACTTAGAGGAAATTTTAGGTGATAAAATACAAAAGAATGAGTTCAAGTGCCACGAGTTTGTTTTAATTAAGAAATGAATTAATCACCCCGACTTGCGGGTTTCCACTGTTCTACAGATTCAACAAATTCCAGTGACAACATCTACACAATGATTAATCCGGTGCCGCCTGGAGGCAGCCGGTCCAACGTAAGTCTGCTTTCTAATAATTTACATATCAGACACCATAACAAATCATAATTAACTTCATCAGCTGAGGGGAAAGCAAGTTTAATTGATTTCAGCCATTTGTTACCAAAGATGAATAAAATAAAGCGTCAGAAAAGTGATTAACTCTTGGGCAACTCAGCCCCCATTTCATAGCCGGCAGGGGGTGGGCGACAAGGCGACAGGCAGGTCCCACCCCTCCGGTCAGAGCGAGGGTGCCGGGCCGCCTTGGGGACCTGCTGCAGGTAGGGTGCTGCGGGGAGCACCAGGCTGCAGGTGGGGGTGGGCCGGGCCGCTCAGCCGACCTGCTGCACCGCCCTGGGCGCGCCCATCCTGTCGGGCCTGTCTCCTTGGCAGTGGAGCTGAGGGTGGAGACCGCGGCAGGAGCAGGTGGCTCATTTGGGGACCTGCCTGCCTTGTGCTGCCACTGTGAGCTCATGACTCTTCTACCTGGTGGTTGCTTTGCCTCTCCTCGGGCCACACTCTCGCCCAAAGCCACTGCCTCCCCTCTTTGCCTCAGTGCCAGCCCCCAGTGCTGCTGCAGCTCAAACGCCACTTTTTCTGGTTCAGGCTTTCTCTGTTGCCTCCCTTGAGGCCGTTGGGTGGGACTGGATGTGTGGGTTCCCCATCCCGCTGGGAGTTCCCTGCCTCTCCTCGCAGACAGCCCTTCCATTCCATCCACGCCTCCCTCCGCCCTGCAGCGGCGGGGAGGTGCTCTGTCCAGCCTTGCCCTTGGGGGCTCAGGGTCTGAGAGATCTGTGGGCTGCAGAGCCAGGGGTGGGGCCTTCGGTCTGGCCGGCTCAGTTCCCAAGGTGACGCCTGAATCCCCCCGAGCGTGGGCTGGATACTGCACGCATGCAATCTCCCGGAGCCCCCAAAGGTGAGGGTCTTTGGCCCGCCTCCTTAACCGGGTCCCTGACTAGGAAGCGTGGGAAATGCATACACTGCCCCACCCGGTGTGCATCCAGCCCACCCACCACCCCAACCTCACGGCCACCTCCTCGAGGGCGACTGGCCACCCAGGTTTAGTTCCAAGAGCGTTGCATCCTGAGACATCCCAGACAAGAAAAGTTCTGGGTTTGGGCAATGGATGCAGAAGGCTGGGTGGAAACGTATAAGACCCACAAGAGGCCCCAAAGGCAGAGACTGGCAGCACTGTTTCTAGTGTCAGATGGGAATGGCATAGATTATCTACCTCCCACGGCCACGGTCACCAGACGTCCCCTGACCTCGGTGCTGGCAGTCTCGACTTGTGGCTGTCCACAGCAGATCGCCTGCGTCGTGCCACTGCAGGGCGGCAGCCGAGCGGCGGCCGTGTGTGTCCACGGTGTCTGCCTGGGACTCCGCTGTAGACGCTCTGGGCGCCGTGTGTCGAGATCGCACTGGGTTGGTTCAACATTGTGAATGTCGAGACCGTGTTTCCTACAAGTTCAGATAATAGAAATGAGATCAGTGACAATGCCAGCACCAGCATGACCCAGCCATCAGCGAAAGAGGAGGCTAAATAACCGTGTTATTTTAAAGGACACACAACTGGATTTGGGAGGTAAAGAGGCCAAACAACAAACTGCCCCAGATGCAGGAAAGAACAGGGCGCAGGCCTGGCAAAGAAGGGGACATGGAAGCACACTGGAGACAGCTTCCCAAGTCTGGGATGACATTGGCACGTCCTTCTGAATCAAGGGGTTTTTGACCCCCAAAGGGACAGCAGTGCCCCGTCAGTGTGGTCGCTGGATGAGCGTGGGCATGGCCATCGAATGCACACTGTTATCGTCTCGGTCCCTCAATTGCACCCTGAGCCCAGAAGGTTGCATTTCCTGATTGAGAAGTTGCAGCTGAAAGTCCTGCGTGTGAGCAAAAGGGAGAGGGAATTCTGACAACAGGTGTGTTGGCCCCGCACGGCAGAGCTGGTTCCTGTCTGGTCTCCCAGCCGCCGCGCTTTCTGCAGCGTACAAACTGATACCTCAAGTCGTCGCGACAGCAGGTTCCTGCTAGCTCTTAGGTGTGTTGATCTGAAAACTGGAGTTTTAAATTGTCATCTTGATCTCCAGGAAGATTTTAGTGAAGCTGTAGAAAACACGAAAGATTGTTGTTCTCTTGTCCAAATACAAACTAGGCTTTGCCCATCTATGTGCACATTTGGCAGACAGTGCACAGTTAATTTTGGCAGATTTCACTTAGCCTGTAAGCTTTTTACCAACGGAAATGAAAACATCTTACCTGTTAGATGTCCTGCACACCTATATACCCAATGCTGCCATAAGTGTGATTTGCCACCTGTGCTATCAGCTTTCATAATGAAAGTCTTCGGGCACTTTTCATTTTCCTCCAAACGTGTAGAAGCTCTTAATGAGATTTTTGACTTCATAGAAACAGCAACTGCCTTAGACACGTGCCCATGAGATGACTATCATCGTTGCTGGCCGTAGAAAAGATGTTAAAAATGTCGGTCTGCCGTGAAAACTTGTTTTTTTTTTTGAAGTGCGAGACGAGAAGAGTGTCCTCCTCTGATTTGGAAATGCACTGAGATGAGAATGGAAAAAGGGATTACAGTAAGATAGAAATGTACGGACTGTTTCTCCAAAGCGTCTGATCTTTGAAGAGGCCACGAGGGGCCCGGAGGGAGCCGAGCCAGCCACACCCGGGTCGCTCGGTGTCACGTGGGGCTGCAGCAAAACCTCACACGGCAGAAGTCATGACTCACTTTGGAAAATGAGACTGCTTGTGAACTCAAAAACTGTCACCAGGTTCAACAGGACTTCTCAGTTTCTTCACCAAAAGTGTAACTTATTTGGAATCCAGCTTAGATCTCATAAGTCCAGATCACCTCTGTGCTTCAAAGCTATTTTCCCTGAGAAAGAGAAGTTTGATTTATAATGACATCCAGCGTGCTTCACAGTGTTTAATTGTGACGGACATCGCACACAGGGATAGCCCATCTGGTGAATTTATAGACACGGGTCTGATTGACAAGCGACGGGCCACCAAGGCCAGCCCGTGCCCACAGGCACACAAGTGGGTCGACATCTTCGGAAAAGATGAATTTCTTCATCTTCTCCGAATTCAGGAAGTGAATTTCTGCAAGTCTAAAAACCTGTGCTAGCAATAATAAGTAAAATCCTAAGTAAGTACACCGTGTGCAAAAGTTTTTGTGGAGAGGAGGATATTTAGTTGGGTGTCATCAAGTTGGACTGACAGCAGGAGTTGGGGTGAGGTAGGCTTGTAAAGAACAGGGCAGCAAGTCAAGTGAATTTTACATTTGACTATGTTTCATATTTCGTTTTGCTGTTGCGTTTTAAAAAGGTATCGTAAAGGCAGCAGTCAATTCAGAGAAGTAGCCTTGGGAAGGGAAGCAGAACAAAAACATTCTGTTGTATCATGGGGCAGAAAGAAGCATGTCATTGTTATTTTTATTTATTTATTTATTTGAGACAGAATCTCACTCTGTTGCCCTGGCTAAAGTGCAGTGGAATCAGCCTAGCTCACAGCAACCTCAAAACTCCTGGACTCAAGCGATCCTCCTGCCTCAGCCTCCCGAGTAGCTGGGACTACAGGCATGTGCCACCATGCCTGGCTAATTTTTTCTATATATATTAGTTGGCCAATAGATTTCTTTCTGTTTTTAGTAAAGGCAGGGTCTCACTCTTGCGCAGGCTGGTCTTGAACTCCTGAGCTCAAACAGTCCACCCACCTCAGCCTCCCAGAGTGCTAGGATTACAGTCGTGAGCCACCGCACCCAGCCTCATTGTTATTTTTTAAATATAAGTAATATTGTTTTCATTAATCCTATTATATTTTTAAATTAAATAATACATTAATCTTCATGAGAAAACTTATAAATAATATAGCCTACAAAATTTAAATATTCAATAAAGAATTTTAAAAAAGAGTTACTGCTGTATCAGAAAGCAGAAACATTATAAAAATGTCCTATTTTGGTCAGGCACAGTAGTAGCTCACACCTGTAATTCCAGCACTTTGGGAAGCTGAGGGAGGAGGATCACTTGAACCTAGCAGTTCAAGACCAGCCTAGGCAACATACTGAGACCCCATCTCTACAAAAAATGAAAAATGGGTGTGGTGGTACGTGCCTGTAGTCCCGGCTACTTGGGAGGCTGAGGCAGGAGGATCGCTTGAGCTCAGGAGTTCAGGTTGCAGTAAACTGTGATCACACCACTGCACCAGCCTGAGTGACATAGCAAAACCCTATTTCTAAAATAAAAAGAAAAGAAAGAAAAAAATGTCATATTTTCCCCATACATATCATTTATTTAATCCTCCTACTAATGGTCACTGTTAACTAGATCTATTGTTATTTTGTTTAAATAATAGTATTTATGTAACAGAAAAGTAAATAATACAGATACAGAATAAGTCAGTGGTGCTGGGACTAGATATCTTCATGCAAACCAATGTGGTCGGGCTACTTCCGTACACCAGTACACAAAAATTCACTCAAAGTAGGTCATAGACCTGAATGTCAAAGCTGAAACTACAAAACACTTAGAAGAAAACACAGGAGTAAATCTTCATGACCCGGGTTTAGCAAAGCCTTCTTAGACACAACACCAAAAACACAAGCCACAAAAGAAAAAGGTAGATAAATTGGACTTCATCAAAATTTTAAAAATTGGTGCTTCAAAGGACACTATCAGGAAAGTAAAAAGATACCGCACAGCATGGAGAACATATTTGCAAATCATGTATCTGATGTCACACTTGAACCCAAAGTATGTGAAGAGCTCTTACAACTCAATAATAAAAAGACAACCCAATTAAAAAATGGGACAAGGACCTGAACAGACGTTTCTCCAAAGATGTACAAATAGCCAGTAAGCACTTGAAATGATGCTCTGTGTCATTACTCATTCGGAAATGCAAATCAAAACCACGATGAGATGCCGCACCCCTCCCACACGAATGGCTTTTGTCAAAAAGACACACAATGACCCGTGTTGGTGAGGATGTGGAAAGATTGGTGCCCTCATGAACTGCTAGTGGGAGTGTAAAACGGCACAGCTGCTTTGGGAAACAGTCTGACCTTTCCTCTGAAGGCTAAACCCAGAGTCACCGTATGACCCAGCACTTCCACTCCCAGGTATCTACCCAAGAGCAATGGCAACAAATACCCACACAGTAGCTTGGACGCGGATATCCGAGGCAGCATCAGTCGTAACAGCCAAAAAGTAAAAACAGCCTGCGTGTCCCACTGACTGACGAATGGCTAAATAAAACGTGGCCAGTCCACGCGGTGGACTGCGCTTCCGTAAGGAGGAGTAAAGCACTGACTCACGCAGCAACACAGATGCACCTCTGAGACGTGCTAAGTGACAGAAAGCCACAGGTCACATGACTCCATTTACACGAAATGTCCGGAATAGGCAGATCCAACGAGACAGCAAGTTGATTGGTGGCTTCCTGAGGCTCGAGGTGGAGGGGAACCAGGGAGTGACTGCTGAGGGGTACAGGATTTCCTTTTGGGGTGATGGGAACTGTTCTAAAACCCACTGCAGTGATGGTTGCACAGCCTTGTAAATGTCCTAAAAACCACTGAGTTGTATGCTTTAAATGGGCTACTTGTATGGTATGTGAATTATATCTCAAGGAAACTGTTAAAATACTAATACTACACAAAACACTATTTAATTTCAAATAAGTGCCTGCTTTTATATATTCATGTTAAAGTAATGACATTTATGTTGCAGTAATAACATGCATGTGCATAATTATGTATTATCATTTTGGGGAATTTATTTTGGTCTGATATGGCTGTGTCCTGGGTTGATTCCTTAAAAAGTTGGTTGCCCTCATCCTCATCACTGGGGTTGATAAGCATGAAATTTGTTGCCAGATGGCAAAATGTGCCTAAAAGCCTGTGAGCTGCCTGGGGTGGAGGAGCCTGGGACAGCAAGGTCGCTGCGCACCCGGTGGGCGAGTGGATGCAGGAGGCTCATGCCCCGGCTTCGCGCCTGCACCCTCCCTGCTGCACCCTGCCTGGAAGCCTTCTGCTCCTGCAGGACCCCCGCCTGGGTTGACTTCTGCGGGGGGCTCTGCCTGCCCAAATCTTGCCCCTCAGTTTTGGTGATGCCCTGCCTCCTCCTCTGTGCGGCCAGTTCCGATTTTCCTGCCTCTGTCTGCAGCTCTGTGGTGCTCAGCACCTCTGTCCTCCTGGGGGGTCGGTGGGTGTCTGAGAGTGCCTCCTCCCGGTGAGACTCAGCTCTGTGTCCTCAGCACCCAGCCCAGGCTGGGTGCCAAGTGGTCCTCCATTCCACCCCACCCCCACCCCTCCCACCTAGCATCTGGCCTGCATCACGGGGTGTGGCTCTCCAAGCTGCACTCACCCTCGCTCCCTGGCCTGTGACTCGTGGCCGTGGGATGTGACCTCTGGCCTTCACTTGCCTCCTTTCTGAGATGGGTAGATGGTTCCAGATAGGCCTGAGGATGGCATAGAACCAGTCCTGTGTCTGAGCCCCTGGTCTGCTGCTCTGTCATTTCTGCATGGGGGCTCACCTAGTGACCTTCTCCCCTGCCCCACAGCTCCAAGGCGAGGTGCCCCTGTTGGGTGGCACCCCACCACATGGCAAGCCCCATCTCTTCTCACCGCCCACCCCCAGGAGGCTTCTTCACTTAGACTTCTCCATCTTATTAGCCGGAAGGGGGCCAGGCTGCCGGCCTCCAGTCCCAGCTCCTCATCTCCAGCCCGGGAGACCTCGGGCAAAGCCTTTCCCACTCGGTGCTTCTGTTTCCTCCCCTGTAAAATGGGGGTGGAAAGCACTGCCCTTTTGGGTCCCTGGCCTGGCCTGGTCAGAGCCGTCTGTGAGAGTCTGGGGCTGGTGAACCGCACACTTTGCCCGGGGATGGACGGAGCCCTGCAGGGAGATACGAGGAGGGGATTGAGAGCACCTCTGCGTGGGGGTGGATGGCCTTGGCCGGTCCCTGTCTCTCTCTGGGTTTCTTCCCTTGCCCTGGGACTCCTAGGGCGGGGGCGAGGGGCCTGCCCGGCCCCCTGGGCACTGAGCACCCAAGTGTGTGTGTGTAGAGCCCATCAGGACCGAGTTCACTGAGGTCTGGACTCTCGTGTGCTGTAGCCCAGGGCCCTTGAAAGTGCTTGTGTTTGTTGACTGACTTGGGACGTGGGGGCCCGTGGCGGTGCCGAGGGCCTGGGCCCTGCCAAGCTGCCATGCTGTGTTTCTCCTGCAGTTCCCGATGGGTCCTGGCTCGGACGGCCCGATGGGCGGCATGGGCGGCATGGAGCCACACCACATGAACGGATCCTTAGGTGAGCCGGCGCCCTGGGCCTGCCCCTCCGCCCAGGAAGCTGGCCCTTGGCCTCAGCTCTGGGAACTGGGCCTGCTTGACAGCCCTGGCCTCGGCTGGGCACTCAGAAAGATCCAGACAGAAAGAAACTTCCCATGCAGAAAATTCTCTGCACAGAAACAGTGTGGGATGTGGGAGGAGGGCTTGGAGGCCGAGGCGCCCACAAGGAAGGGATCCTTCTCAGGCTGGGGGCCCTTCCGTGGAACAGCGTGCAGAAACTGAATTGGATTCTTCTCTCCTTCCAGGGTCGGGCGACATAGATGGACTTCCAAAAGTGAGTGTGTGCACGATGTCCCCTCCCTGACAGCACGCTGTCCGTGTGGGCAGGTTGTTGGGAACATGGGGCTCACCTCCTCTCCTCTCCCCACAGAATTCTCCTAACAACATAAGTGGCATTAGCAATCCTCCAGGCACCCCTCGGGATGACGGCGAGCTAGGAGGGAACTTCCTCCACTCCTTCCAGAATGACAATGTAAGCCCCCCCCCCATGCATGCTGCTCTCATGCCCAGCCTGGCGACTGCGATCTAGCAGGCTCAGGAGCCCCGTCGCTGCGGCCTGTCCGCCGAGCTGGTGGCCTGGGAGCCGTGTCGTGGGCTTTCCACCTGGCACTGCCCTGAGTGTGCCTGCCGGCGGGCCCTTCTGGTGGTGGCGACATGCAGGCTGGACGCTTCCGGCACTAATTAAGCTGACGTGGCCAGGGAGCCCTGGGCTGAGAGAGTTGGGGGCCGCAGTGCCCCTGGGGGCCCTTTCCGAAAATCTGTCCTGGGCAGGAAGGTTCATGGAACCAGTGATTTCCAGGGGGCTCAACAGAGGGCTGGCTGCCTGCTTCTCCCGGAGTGGGCCTCTCTGTACCTTCTCATATGAAGAAAGTCTCATGGCTACGTTGCTTTCCAGAACCCCATGGGGACTGGCCACTCCCCAGGGCACCCTGGCTGTGCCCTGGCTCAGAGGCCTGCCCTGGGAGTGGGCAGGGCTGGAAATAAGTGGGGATGATTCAGAGAGGGGAAGGAGTAGGGGGGCCGCTGATGAGAGGTAGCCCCCAGCAGCCCCTTCCTGGCCGCCACCCTGCCCACCCAGCCATGCCCACATGGCCCTGCCTGGCGGGTGCAGTGAAGCCGGCACAGGGCGTTGGCATCTTGCTGTGCCTGCGGCCTCCCCACCCCGCCCTCACCGCCCGCCTTTGCTTCTCCCTTCAGTATTCTCCAAGCATGACGATGAGTGTGTGACCCCCCTTCTCCGAGACGATGAGAAAGCCGGCATTGCAGGTGGGAAGATGCCAGAAATTATGCAAGAAGAAGTGAGGTGTCATTATCCAGGAGCTGGGGGGAGGGCGTCTCCTGCTCCCCCTCCACCCACCCCCCTCTGCACCCACCTTTCCCACTTTAGTTTCATGCAATAAAAAGGCCGAACTTTTTATTCCATAAAACATGAAGGACAAAACTCAAAATAAAAATTTATTTCAAGTCAATGACCAGAAAAATCCCACCCCTTGCCCTTTCCCAAAAGGACCTTTTCTGTACATGACACTTTTTTGTTGTTTTTTGTTTGGGGTTTTACCGTTGTTGGGATTTTTTTATTTGTTTTCAGGGGAGTGTTTTTTGGGGAAAAATTTTTAAAAATGGAAGCTTCTAGCAAGCCCCCCACCCCACCCCAATCAACCTCTATGCTTTCTTCTTTAAAAAAAAAAAAAGGCAAAAAAAAAATGCAGAAGCCCTGCTATCTGTCTGTCCCCAAGCCCTTCCACCAGGAAAGCTAGTCTAGGTGTGAGATCTCACACTGTCTTTGTAGCCATCTAAAAATAATAATAATAAACTGGACAGTTTACAATCAGTGGTTTCTTTCAAAAAGCCTTTTTTGGAAAGAAGAAAAGGAAGTCAGCCTGTTCAGCTTGGGGTTCTGGTTTGTGCGATGGCACCGGGGTGGCGGAGCCTGCTTGCTTCCGCCTGGCTTCCGTGGCGACGGCAGCGGCACACTTGGACCCCAGCACACACCCACCCTCGCCACGTGGCCGGAGGGGCCGGACCACCCACCCCTCCCGGACGCCACGGCCCAGACCTGCGCTGTGACCAGGTGGCTGCGCTGGCCCAGGACGGCTTCCTCCTCTCCCTCCCAGACGCTCCTGTCCCGGCCCCCCTCCGCCCCCACCCCAGTCTTCCCAGCGAGAATCCTGCCAGCTGGGCGGTGGCCTGGAGCAGAGCAGGAGAGGCCGCCACCGACAGGATGGCTATGACCTGGGACCTGGAAGCCGTGACCGCCACGTTCGGGTCCCGTGATCCTCGCATCGCCGCCGTCGTGGGCGCGGGCAGGGTGGGCTGGAGTTTTGGTTTTCTTTGTTTTTTTCTCTTTACTCGTCCTCCCTTTTCCAAGATGGGATATTGACCAGGATTGCTCTGTACGTGCTTGGAACTGGACGCAAAGACTGGAGTGGCTGTGGGGGGTGGGGGGATGCCAGCAATCAGACAGACGTGCTGTTTCCCGTCCTGTTTTTATTTTCAAAAACCGACAACCCGACGGTGGAGCGTGTGCCCTCCCAGGAGGTCGACTCGCGGCCCCCCTTGCTTCGTCGTCCCCCATGGAAACCTGTGTCTTGCCCTGGAAGACACCGAGTTCTTTGTACATTGACACGCCCTCCCCCTCCCCTGTAGCTGGTCTTTGTTTTATCACCCCCCATCCATGTATATCATATTATGTGAGATATCATCTGCCTGAAAAAAGACCTTGTGCGGATTATTGGGAACATTGTAGCTGTTTCTGTGTTTTTTCTTACCTTGTAGTCTGGTTCTGAATTAAGAGAGGAAAAAAAAAGTAATTATGATACATTGTAGTTTGTGTACGATATATGTTGATAACGTTTTATTAAAGGGACATCTTTTTTCCGCAGCCCTTCCTGACATGTTTGGGGGAACGTGGGTTGGAGTTTATTCTATTCATTACAAAATGCAAGGTGACCCGTCAGGCAGGGTTTTGTTCTGGTGCATAACGAGATTCAGGCCTTCTTTTCCTGGCGTGTCAGTTCTGCATTGTGGAGAGTTGTGCTGGCCTTTTGGGGAGGTAGGTTGGGAGAGGAGGGTATCAGTCTCGCTTTAAATATTTGGGGACTTTCTGGAAGCCAGCTTCAGTTTCTTGCCTGGCAGGCACATTTTACTCTGCCGGAATGTCTGTTTTTCTGGAAGTAGAGACAGGTGCCTGCTGCCCCGTGTTTGCTGTGGGCACTGTGTTGTCTGGGATGACGGGATCTCGTGGGATCTGCTTCACGGGAGGCCCCGAGCCTTGGGTGCCTGCTCTGTTGGGGCCTGCAGGGGTCTGGGGGTCCTTAGATGCTGGGCCCTGAGGGGGTTGATTGTTTTTTAACCTCCAAGGTAATGGGGAGCCCTTGAGGCGTTTTAAGAGTAGCACAGTCTGACAGGAATGTCAGAAGAGGAGAGCTGGCTGCACCCGGGAAGGGACAGGATGTGGGGAGAGCCATCCCCAGCCAGCGACAGGGCAAAAAACACTGAGGGCCAGGGCGAAGGAGCAGCTGTGGGCGCTGACTGGCACAACGTCTAGAAAGTAGAACTTTCTACCTACTTGGTTGAGCTCTGGGGCCTCATTCTAGGCCACAGCAGGAGTGGGACCCACAGTGTCTGGGCTCTGTCCACGTTCACAGGGTCTCAGGAACCAAGTTGCCAATTGCCAGGTTCAGGTCTTGCCTTTGCCACTGCTCGTTGCGTGGCCGTGGGCAAGTTGGTTTATTCCTCTGCCCTTGGTTTCCTCAACTGTAAAGTGGGGGGTGGCCTGGCACCTCATGGGGCTGTGAAGGCCTCACCGCCGTGCCTGGCATGTAGCAAGCAGTGTCTGTTAGCTACAGCGGCATTGTCATCACTCCTATTTGGGGAGAGTCCAAATGGGTGTGATGGGGAGTAGCTGAGATAATCTAGAAAATTCCATTTGGTCCTTCCCTCCTCACCTTGGGATAAGGTTTCCTTCCACAGACACTTTTGAACTATTGGGAGAATGTCCCCATTGGACAGGTAATGGCACTGACTCGTGCTGGGGGAGGAGGAGGGATGGGGCCCCCTCAGAGCAGGAGTCAGCCTCAGGCTGGAGTGGGGGTGTAGAGAGAGAGGGAAGGCAGGGCCCAACCTGCAAGGAGCGTGTCTGTGCACCCTGTGGCCCGCCCAGCTTGGGGCGTGACAGCCCTGAGGCTCTTCCCCACCACCTCTCAGCCTAGGGCCCTTCAGTCCCCACAGTTCTCTTTACAAGGCCAGGGGTCCTGGGGAGGGCTGGTTCCAGCTGGCCTTGCCTGGGGCAGATCTTTGAGGAAAGGACTGGTGTGTGTTCTCCATGGTGTTTTCCCAGCCCAGGCCTGACAGAACTGCGGGGCAGTAAGAGCGCTCACTGCACCAGTATAAGGACCCTGAAATGAGGGGCAGGAGAAAGGGGGTCCTGCCTGTCCGGGCCTCCTGCTCTAGGAGCCGGGCCCGGCACAGCCGCCACTTTCCTGCCAGACCTCACTGTCCACAGGCAGCCAGAGGGGTGTCCACAGGCAGCCAAGGCTGCCAGAGCGAGAGCCAGCCCTGAGGCAGGAGACCTGGCCCGTGCCACCCTGCTGGGCACCCACCCCTGGGGCTGGCAGCTGCCAAAGCGTACAGCCAGGGCGGGGCTCCAGCTGGGGCCGTGGCTGCCCAGCCTACCTACCCCCACCCCAGCCCCTGCTGTCCCGTGAACTGTGGTGGGTTGTGTTCCAAGATTCCACAAACTGGGAGGCTGGGCCCACAGCACCCCGGGGCCCTCTGGCCTTAAGGGGAGCTGCACTTCTGGGGGCTCAGGCCTGGTCTGCAGAGCTGCGGGCTTGCCTGGGCTTGGATGGAGGGGCTGGGCAGGGAGGGGAGCGCTGGAGGCAGGTGAGCCAGGCTCACTGCACACAGGCACTGCAGGGGCTGGGGGTTGGAAACAAGGGAGCAGGCCAAGGTGGGTAGGTGCCAAAAGGCAGAGAGACGGTCTGGGGCTGGTGTGTCCTCTCTCTTCCCGGAGCCTGGTGAGCCCCAGTACTTGGCACCTGGTTTCTGGACATTCAGCTACCTCCTCAGTTTCCTGCCTCCATCTCAGCCCTCCCTATGCCACGAAGACCTCACTTCTGAGCCTCCACAGACTCTTCTCTCTTTCCATCCATCCGTCCTTCATCCGTGTGTGTTGAGCACTCGGGATACAGCAGGGAACAGACGGGGGGGGGGGGGGCTGGCGATGCCCCTCTCAGAAGCGGGCGGGCTGCAGGCAGAGCCCCGTGTTGGCAAGTTAACCCTGAGACATGATTAGCTGCCAGTGAAGATGTCAGGTGGGCAGGTCTGGGTGGAGCCAGACTTTGGGAGTTGCCAGCCGTTTGTTTGGTCTTTAAAGCCACAGGCTGGCTGAGATCATCCACGGGCCAGGGCCAGGGCCTGACCTGGGGGCTCTCGGCAGTAAGAGATCTGGGGAACAGGAGCAAAGGAGGCAGGGAAGTGAGACCAGGAGAGTGGGGTGCCCTGGGGGCCATGTGAAGAAAGGAGGTGCAGAGAAGAGAATGCCTCCCACTGCAGGGGGGTCCCAAATGGCCACACCTGCCACAGCACGAGGACCAGGTCCACACTCCTCACAGCTGCCACACCTGCAGGCCTCCTGCTCTTCCTCACCCCCCAGTGCTTCTGCCCCAACCACGCAGAACTGTGGCTGGCTGCCCACTGAGCCCTGTGTTCTTGCTGTCCCCTCCTCTTTTCTACCTGCCCTTTAGAACCTAGCTGGGGCCACACCTTCTTCAGGAAGCCCTCTAGGCTGGCATGGCTCTCTCTGGGTCCTCATGGCCCCTGTGCTGTAACAGTTCAGTGTCTGCCTCCCCCATCAGGCTAGGAGCTCCTCTTAAAAGGACCATGTCTGAGTCCTCTTTGTCCCCAGAATCGCCTACCACAGGGCCTGCTGCCCAGCAGGTGCTCAGTGGAACCCCTCCCCATTGTAGGTACCCACTTACCTGTGGGTAGGTGCTCAGATGTGGGGAAGAGGTGGCCTTTATGGGTACCTGCTACTGCAGATGCAAAGGAGACTGCGGTCATTGCCCACCTGGCAGACTGCCAGCTCCTGAAATGGGCTGTTGGTGGGCTGCCTGCCCTACAGGAGGTCTATAGTGGGGAACCTCAGGGCTCAGTCTCCAGTGCCCACCTATTCTTGGGCTCCATCACTGGCCCAGCTGGGGATGTGTGGTGGGGGCGGGTGAAGGCAAGCTGGCTGGGCCACAAGGCTCCTGAAAGGCTGGACCCTAAAGGAAAGAGTTCCTGCCCAGGCAGCAAGCCCGCCCCCTGATCTTTGGGTATGATATGAGGAGGTGTGGCCTGACACGTCTGGCCTGGGAGAGACTGAGGATCTCAGGTGGCAGTAACCAAGGCGGAGTGTCCGGAACAGGGGAGGGGCTGGCCTGGCTCCTCTGCCCTCCTCAGCCGGGCCCTGCTCTGGGGCGTGGCCTGGAACAGGTGAACTGGGACTAAGAGGGACAGAGGTGCAGTGGGAGGCAGGCCCTGGGCTATTCGGCTTTGAGGCACAGTCCACAGCCTGAAACGTCTACAGGGCAGGCCCCTGGTTGGGGGAACAGATGGTGTGTGTGGCCCCACAAGGCAGAGCGGGGCCCTTGGGTTGAAGCTATAGGATGCCGTTCCTCCTGAGATGCCAGAAGCCGAGCAGCCAGAGCTGCCGAAGGATGAAGGGGCTGCATGGAGAGGTAGTGAGTCCCCCGCTGCAAGGGTGAGGCAGCTGGGGGAGGCTGGGTGGGGACATTTGCCCAGGAGGGTGCTGACTGCTGGAATCCCAGCTCCGTGGCAGAGGGGAAGATTAAAAAGCCTTTCTCAGGCAGAGCTAGAGTCAGAACCAGCTTACTCTGACCTCCGACAAAGTCCCTCCCAGCTTTGGGGCTGTTGCCACCTCAGCAAGAGGTCCCTGGCTGGGTGTGGCGGCTCACACCTGTAATCCCAGCACTTTGGGAGGCTGAGGCAGGAGGATCACTTGAGCCCAGAAGTTTGAGATCAACCTGGACAACATACCGAGACCCTGTTGCTACAAAAAATAACAAAAATTAGCCAGGTGTGGTGGTACACAACTGTAGTCCCAATTACTTGGGAGGCTGAGGCAGGATCCCTTTAGCCCAGGAGTTCAAGGCTACAGTAAGCTGTGATCGCAGCACTGCACCCCAGCCAGGGTGACAGAGTGATGCCCTGTCTCAAAAAAATAAATAAATAAATAAATATAAAAAATAAAAGAGGTCCCCATAGAGTTGGCTGATCCATGACTTGCATCACCCCCTCTGCGAAAGACCACCCCAGATCTAGTTCTGCACATGCCACAGGAAGGGGGCTGGCGGTCCTGCAGGCGAGGGTGGGAAGGGAGACATGTTGAGGATGGGCTCCTGCTATTCCTCAAACACCCATCCCACTGCCCTCCTCAGAGCCGCTGCATTGTCTTCAGCTCTGTCTGTCCCCACACTTCAGGTCAATACTTGAGTGTCACCCACAGTGCCCCTCCCTCACCTGTAACCTAACACAGTACCCCTTAACTGGGGGAGGTTAAGGGCCAACACACCCACTCGCCCTGCTGCTGATGGCACACAACTGTCCCTTCCTGCGAACTGCCAGGGACCCAGGGAACTGCCTCACCCAAGGTTTCACCTCCCGAGAGTGCAGTGGGAGTACAGGGCCCCACCAACTTGCCTCGGTTTGGGACAACTCTTAAGGGCATCCTGATTCCAGAGTTTTCTACAGCATGTGCTGAGGCCTCAGAGGGAGACCGCTGCCCAACAGTGCCCTCCTTGCTTCCTTCCAACGCTCTCCGGAGAGCACACCCCAATAGATGGTCCATCGGAGTCCCTTCCAGGGAACCCCATCTGCAAGGGCCCATGCCACTGTTCTTCGTATCACTCTGCCATGCATCTGTTTACGTCCACCTCCCCGCAGCGGCAGGGCAGCTCCCTGGGAGCAGAGCCCTGGGTTTTCAGTGCTCAATAGCAGTGCCCTCCATCATGGCTGACGCTCACTGGGTGCTCAGGAAATACTCCCTGGGTGACAGTCCAGTGGCCGGGAACGTGTCATCCTGAGGTGAGGAGAGGGCACCAGGCCTGACTGGTAACAAGTGCACATCTCTGGGGATTCCCAGCTGTCTGGAAGAGGGTCCCTATACCAGGGTGGTCTTTCCGCAGTCAAGCAGGTAGTCCTGTGGGTCATGGCGACTGGAGTACTGAGGATAAAGGGAGACCATCTGAGACGCTCGTGTTGTATGGGACTGTCATCTGCTGCACAGGAGGAAGGAGGGAGCTGCTGTCTAAAGGTTGAAAGTACCATGTCCTGCTCCTTCCCAGCCTAGGGCCTGAGCTGAGGGACAGAGCTCCCCCCATCAGGCGCTTGCTCTGGGGCCAGCCCTGGGAGGACGCAGAGCAGCCTGAGGGGGGCCCTCAGCAAGCCCACCTCTCTCACAGGGCTCTGGGAATGCCAAGCCCACCCTCTGGAAACCTATCCACATGCAGCTTATTTGATCCAAAGATGCGGAAAACGGACACAGAAGTGCCTTATCCCCGCGTTTCAGATGACGCTGAGGCTCTGGGACGGCAGCTGGAATATAGGTCTGGCTTCCCCTCAGACCACAATTACAATTCCCCTGCCACTGAAGTCCGCTGGAAACGTGGAAATGAGCAACTTTTTGTTTTTGAGACAGGGTCTCACTCTATTGCCCAGGCTAGAGTGCAGTGGCGTCATTATATCTCACCATAGCCTCGGTCCCCTGGGCCAAGGGATCCTCCTGCCTCAGCCTCCTGAGAAGCTGGGGCTACGGACACATGCCACCACGCCTGGCCTGCTTAGGGAACTTTCTAATGGATCAGCCAGGCACGTAAGTAAATGACAATAAGAAATATGTTCTCATATGTATGTTAACAATGGGAATGTCAACATTTTGGTTCCAAAAGCTGTTGCTTAGAAGTCCCCATAGTGGGCTGGGTGTGGTGGCTCACACCTATAATTCTACCACTTTGGGAGGCTGGAACAGGATTGCTTGAGGCCAGGAGTTCAAGACCAGCCTGACCAAGAGCGAGATCCCATCTCTATAAAAAAATAGAAAAATTAGCCAGGCATGGTGGCGAAGACTTGTAGTCCTAGATATTTGTAAGGCTGAGGCAAGATCGCTTGAGGCCAGGAGCGTGAGGTTGTTGTGAGCTATGATGATGTCAGTGCACTCTAGCCCAGGGCAATGGAGTGGGACACTGTCTCAAAAGAAAAGCTTGCATTTCTTCCTTTCTTGTGTTTAGTGAGGTGACAGGGATGAGGCAGGTGGGCATTTGGGATTTGGAGAAGTGAATACATGTCTGTGGAGGAGTTCTCACCAGATGAACTTTCCAGCTCTTCACACTACAGCCTGTTCCCACATCTCTGTGGAGGATAAGGCCGCCAGTCCTGCCTGCACTCTGCAGATCAGCTGCGCTTTGCAGCTCCCTTGAAGGGTGAGTGCAGTGGGCTCCGGGCCGTGCAGCTTAGCACCAAGGCCGGCGTCAGGGCTGTCCTCATTCAGGGCAGACTGGGAGGAGGGTGGGCTGCCCCGTCCTGGCCTGCACCCTGGCCCCCTTCCAGGAGAGTCCTCAAGCTGCAAGATCATCTGCTGTCTGCTTACTCACAGCTTCCATCATACTCGCCGGGGACTCAAGTTCAGTTCACCCTCTCGCTCCCAGATCAGCCAGTCTCCAAGGACTCAGCCTGATTCGGATTGCTGCCAGCCTCCACCACCACTTGCCTGAGCATTACGGCAGCGGCCTCCAGCTGGACTCTGTCCCGTCTTGCTGCCAACTCGTCCTCTCTGCTCCCACCAGTGTTCTTTAAAAAAAATCCCTTTGACTCAGCAATTCCACTGCTAAGCATTTACCCAATGGCTCTGCTGGCAAAAGCATGCTAACATACAGGAACAAGGACGCTCACTGCAGCATTATTTCCAATAACTAACAACTGGAAACAACCTGAACGTCCACCAGTAGATATTAATGCACCTGCTCAAAAGAACAAGGTAAATTTTATGTGCTGATGTGGCAAGATCCTACGATCCAAAGATACTGGGTAAAAAGGGAAGTGTAGGAGAGGCTACAAACAGGATAGCTCTAAGGAATGTACACATAGGCATTTTAACGAACAGTACATAAGTAACTAAGCTGTGGTTCTCCTTAGGGAAAAGGACTAGGAATTGCCTTGGGTGGGATGACTTTTATATTTTTCCGAACTCTTTGAACTTTTACCATTTACATTTATTTTTTTTCTCTTTAAAATAAAAAGTAGAATGTGAAACAGGGCTGAGTCCCCCAGCCCCAGATCACCTCCCACAGGAAGTCAGGAGCTGGGCATTCACGTTCCTCGAAAGTGGGCTGCCATTGCTTCAGCCCCCAACTCTCCTTGCACTCCCCACTTCCAGCTGGTCCCTGACACAGGGATCCTTCATGTTCTCTGCTTCTCCCTGCGATTCCTCCTGCCTCTCCCTCTCCTCCCCCCCTGACCCCCGCCAAGCCTAGAAGGTAAGTGTGAAGAGAGAGCACAGCCTGGATTCACATGTACTAGCCGTGGGCACTGCAGTGGGCTCTCAGGTCTCTCTTCAGAGAGCTCCTCCAGCTGCTGGAAGTTTCTGCAGTAAATCCTCTCAGCAGTCCTTTGTGGGAATTACGGCCCAATAAAGCCACCTCATCCAAGGTCTCGCCCACTGTGGGTGTTGTTGTGTGTGGTGTTGGCACATACCCAGCGACTGGGGCCAGGCCAGTGATAGTTGGAGAAAGGTTCAACTCCCTTGTCCCGGGGGGCAACTCTGGCTCCAGAGTGCCACTGACTGGGGCCTCAGGTACAACCACATAAAGTTCACCCCCTCCCTGTGCTGCCACCTTCACGTCCCACAGGTATAGGTCCTAAAGGTTCTCACCAAACTTTCACATGCAAGTCTCCATCTCTGAGGTTTTCTAGGGACAATGACCTAAGGTACCAGCAGTGTGACCTTGGGCAAATTCCTTAAACTATCTGTGTTTTCTCTTTAGGGCCTAGAACAGTGCCCTCACCATTTTTCTTGACTATGAAAATGATATTTGCCTTGTACTGGTTGTATGAGGATTAAACAAGATGCTGTGTATAAAGTGCATGGCGTAGTGGCCGAGTGTCTGGCACAGAAAAGGACTTGATGTTACGTGAACAGAGGTGAGCTGAACCAGAGTGCAGCAGCCCATTAACCAGGAGACCAGTGAGAAATCTGCAAAGAACATGCTATTCAGATTTTCTGCAGTCATTGTGGAATGTGCCCACAATTTAATCCCAAAAGAACCTAGTGATTAGCCCTACGTGGTGGCTCATGCTTGTAATCCTAGCACTCTGGGAGGCCAAGGCGGGAGGATCACTTGAGCTCAGAAGTTCGAGATAAGCCTGAGCAAGAATGAGACCCTGTCTCTACTGAAAATAGAAAAATTAGCCAGCCATGCCGGCATGCTGGCACATGCCTGTAGTCCCAGCTACTTGGGAGGCTGAGGCAAGAGGATCGCTTGAGCCCAGGAGTTTGAGGTTGCTGTGAGCTAGGCTGATGCCACGGCACTCTAGCCTGGGTGACAGAGCAAGACTGTCTCAAAAAACAAAAAATAACCTAGTGACCACCATAGAGCATTTGCTACATGGCAGATGGGATGTACACATAATCTACAGTTTTCATAGCAAGGGAGGTCATATTAGCCCCAAATTTCCGACGAACAAATTGAAACTCGGAGAGATGAAGATGCTTATCTAAGGTCACAATATGGGTCAAGGGCAGAGCTGGGCTTAGGTTGAGGCAGGTCATGCTCCTGGGCTTAGACAGTACCCTCACACCAAGTACAGGCTCCAGTGTGACACAGGGCTCTTTATTGCCAGCGAGACCACAGGAATGTGCACAGGCTCCAGGAGGTCCCCAGGCACTGCCCAGGATGCAGGCTCTTCGGGAGGAAAGGGGCAAGGGGGGCTTCAGACCTCAGAATGGTCCTTGGCTCACACAGCACCATGCAAATACAGAGCTAAAAACTTCTTGAAAGTCTCTGGCCGGAAATCAACTGGACCAACAGGTTCCTAGAAAGAACACAGCCCATTAGGATCCGGCTACTAGGTTTAACCACAGCAATTACAACAAAGGTTGGCTTTATGTAATTCTTCAGTGCCTGGATGGAAACTGTTTCTCTGGCATTGCCTCTCTCTCAGACCGAGAAGTGGTACTGAGGGGCTGCTGGTGGCAGGACAAGAAGCATTCCTGGCCTCTTTCAACCAAATCAGCTGTGCACACTGCCCCGTGCCTCCCAGGCCCTCTCCAACCACCGGGAACAAATGGTCTGCTGCCCCTTTAATCCCAGGGACAATGATCCCTCACCCCTTTCCACACACATTTATCAGGCACCAGCTCACTCTGTATTGAGCCAGTGCCCGGTGCTGGAGACCACAAGTGACCTGACTCTGGTTCCTGTCCTCAAGGAGCTTACCGTCAGGTGTTCAAATAGTGAAAACAGAAGGTGACAGACCCATTCCAGAAGTAAGAAAAGATGCTAAGAAGGCAGGGGAGAAATGCCTAACTCACTGACTTGCAAACATGGAAGAGCAAGTAGAATGGACCAGAAAGACAAAGAAAAGGAGAATTCAGAGAGTCTGGCATGTGCAATAGTCATGGAAGAAATGACAGCAGGACGAGCAAGAGCGGCCAGAGCCCAGGGCTGGTGCTGGTGGGGCCGAGTGGCAAGAGATGGAACTGGAGGGCTGAGGAGAAGCCATCTGACCAAACCACAATGGCCCTGGTGCAGAGTTAGTATTCTGGAAGCACGAGGCTGAAGGAAGAGTACCTGCAGACACAAAGTGGTGAGGGAGAACACGACTAACAGCAGAGAGACCAGCGGTGGCCAGTGGGACTGTGCAGGTGAGGGGTGTTTGGGACCAAAGACAAGGGCCCACCTGCAAGGATTTCAAGGGTAGAAACGACAGTGACAGATGCTGGAGAACTGATTAAAGAACTGACATGCTGATAATGTTCAAAGGCTCAACTCCCACTTGGCAAACCAAGTAGGAGTTGGCAGGACTCAGGCCCTGTGTGGGACATAGCTAGTCCCAGAGCCGGCCCACAGCTACCCCCATTCTGTCCTCTCCACCCCTGACCCTGCTATGTCTCTGCAGTGTACACATCACTGACTGGCCTTGTATCAGGAATTTATTTAGATGTTGCTGCCGCCCAATGCACAGACTGCAGGCCTGGACTGTCAGCTGAGCGCTGGATGCAGCGGGGACAGTGGCACAGGCGGAATGCCGTATCAGTGGACTGGAACAAACGAACGCCTTATCCACAGGCCCTGCCCTCGAGGAACTCGGAGCGCAGTGTGGGGGAGGAGAAAACATGAAAACAGATGACAAGGGCAAAGCAGCACGTGTGTGCTGTAGGGGGACACGAAGGCCAGGGGAGCCCACACAGGCACGTTGGTGATGCTGGGGGTGGGGACGGTGGTGGTCAGAGAAGGCTCCCAGAGTGAGAACACTTATGCTGAACCTGGAAGGACAGGCAGAGGAGGCCAGAGGAAAGAGACAAGGGGCATTGGGTGGAGAAGGGAAGAAGCAGGGAAGCCTCCCAATCAAAAGGAGCAGGATCTACAAAGGTCCCGAGCTGAGGCGGCAGCAGGACACCCTGGGAGCTGGAAGGAGCTGGGCGCAGCTACAGGGGTGAGAGGGAGGTAGGAGCTGGAGTAAGGAGCTGACGGGGCCGGAGGGGAAGCTGTCAGGCTTCAGGTGAGAGGCAAGGCTGAAGCAGCCCTCCGAGCCGAGATCCCAGGCAGGAATCCCAGAGCCAGGGTTCTACTCACAGAGCACCCCTTCCACCCCAACCCAGGCTCTCACTGGGTAGGACCAGGCCTGGCCCTGTTCCAGTCACCAGGCTGGACTTACCACAACCACCTTCTTTCTGATCACCGGGCGACACCAAAAATGCCGATAGAGGAGCTGGTCTGAATCCACCCAGACCAAGTTCTTAACACCCTCATGAGAGACCAGATCTGTGGTGTTCAGCTGTAACACCAGGAAGTGGAAGACACGGCCATCTGTGCCAATAGCCTGCATGACCACGGGCTGCTCCAAGACCTTGGGTTCATTCTGAGAGGGAAAGGGACCAAGGAAAACAAATTAGAAACTGTGGGGTGTTGGGAACAGCCCAGATCAGGCAGCTTCTGCTTCTGTGCATTATAACACCCACCCACTGCCATTTGATGGCTTCACCTTGGGGCAATTAACATAGAATGAGGAGTTCAGGACACTGTCTTGGGCCAGGCCTGCCCTTACCGAGCCTGGCTCTGCCTGGCCTCTGAAGCCCCGTGGCCCCAGGTGCCTGCTCTTCAACTTGAGTAGTAATTCCCACCACTGAGAGGCAATTACTGGGCAAGCCGAAAAATTCAGGCAGGTGAGCTGGGAGGTTAATGACGGAAATCCCTCAAACTTATGGCGTTACCAGATGGGGACAACAGGGACATCAGCTATCAAATGTTACCCTGGAGGGTCAATGAATAATCTCATTCAGTTCTGTCTCCATCTGACAGATGAGGAAACTGAGATTCGGTGAGGTAGTGACTTCTCTGAAGTCACAAAGATAGGTGGCACTGAACCCAAACTGGCTCACTCTACACCAGGCATATTTTCCATTTCTGCCTTGCTCCTAAGGGACTGGCATCCCAGACTTCTCTAAGCCTGCTGGCAGTCATCCCACCTGGCTTCACACTCATACTGCAACTCAGAATGTGCCATGTCCCCACAGTGTCCACACCGGCCATGTCAGCATCAGGATCTCACTAGCCAATGTGTTTGCTAATGATTTCTTTCCATTCATGCCACTTGGTCATAGTTACAACACTAAAACCATTTACTTAGGGGCCAGGCATCTTGCCAGTTTTACATAAAGTCACTTCTGCTCTCATAAATCTAAGGCCATATTCCCACTTAACAGACAAGGAAACTGAAGTTCAGAGAGGTGGTATTATTTGCTCCAGGTCACCCAGGAAGTGTGAACCAGGATCAGATCCCATGCTATTAAGTCACTTAAAACCCTACTGTTCTAGTTTACACTGGAATCCCGGTGTATCTGATAGTGGCACCTCTTTTTATCCTCAGTAGTGTCCCAGTTTGGATGATCAATCATATGGTCAATGCACTGAGACTTTGCAGCAAGCCAGTTTGGTGACTGCTCCTCAATGGACAAAGATCCAACACACAGGCCCCAGGAAGCAGGGCAGACTTGATTCGAAAACGCTGCCTACGCTCACCCCTCCGGGGCTGAATCTGACATCAGGAACAGCTAATGTCAGACCTCGGTGGGGGCCACCCTGGGGCTGTTGGCCTTAGAAATATCTGTTCTTAGCTGCATGAGAAATAAATAAAAAGAAAAGTACCTGTAAGTGTTAGCCGAGAATTCTGTATTGACTCTTATCTCCCTCTACAGATCAATAAAACTGCAGGTAGTACATAAATTTCTCAGCAATTTTACCTTTTACACAGAGGCTCTTCCCATAATTGCCCAACTTTACATCCCCAGGAATAATTTGTACCTAGGGGGGTAGGGGAGGCCTCCTCTCCTACCCAACTGGGTGGCAATTAGTGGCATCGCTGCTACCCAGGCTCTGCTGGCAGTAGCTGGTACAGAAGCTACAATGAGCCTGCTGGCCTAGAACCAGGAATGTGACTATCTCTGCTCCTTCTTCTGCTTGAGTTGGGGGATAGTGTACCCTTTGAAGCTGGAGGGATCACGCTCCAATCCTTGCTTCCCAACTCATTAGCTGTGGGATCTTGGGCAAGTTACCTAAATTTTCAGAGCCTTTGGGAAGCATACAGTTGTAGAATGGGAATAAAGATAGCCTTCCTAGAATTGGAAAGACACAAGAACGTTACATAAAGATGTGACAGCTGCTAATCTCTTAGCTGTGTGACATTGGGTGAGTACTTAGCCTCCCCGAGCCTCAGTTTCTCCAACAGTAAGATGAAGGTAATATCATCTCCCACATGGGGTTAAATAACTATCAATACAAGGACTAAATACCACAGTGGTTCTGAAATTTTAGTGTAGTGGTTTTCAAACAGGGGCTTATATCAGCATCATCTTTTGGTAAAATACTGACTACTGGGCCCCGATCCCAGGGTTTCTCACTCAATAGGTCTGCGGTAGGTAGGTCTGAGAATTTGCATTTCCAACAAGTTCCCAGATGACGCTCCTGCTGCTAATCCAGGACTATATTTTGAGAACCACTGATATAAAAAACCCTAATTAAATGTCTGGCAGGTAGCAGATGCTCAGACAGGCAGGGTCCATTCCACTCCCCATCCATCTGGCTGACCATGCCTCCCAGCCCCACCCAGTGTCTAGTCTAAGCAGGACTGGAGATGACATTTCAAACTTCCTCACTCCTTCAGAGGGCCTTAGGCTCTATCTACCACCTGGGAATGGCAGCGCCTCTCAGAATTCCTGTGCCCCTCACTCCCAAATCAGGGATCTGGTATGCCAGCCTGCTTGATGGCTCCTGCAGCCCTCCCCTACTTGGAGGCCTTTGCCCCAGAGCCAGGCTTTCCCTCGATCTTGGGGCAAGTCTCTGTGACAACTACTCAGCCTGCATTCTACACAGCCTAGGCCCCTGAGATCTGCTCTTAGAATCAAGGGGCTACCACCATGTGATATCTTGGGTACCCAGCAGCCATCTGAGTTGGTAGGCAGGTCTGGGCCATCTCTATTGCTTCACTTCCTCCTGCTTGCCTGAAGGAGTCTTGAGCTCCAGTTCTGACACTACAGAATAGAGGCAGTGTGCTGGAACACAAAGTGAAGATTTCAGAGTGGTAGAAGCCAATCCTTTTTCCACCACTTACTGCTGTGTAATGATGGATAAGTTGCATAGCTTCCCTGTGAGTCTGTGGCATAATGTGGAAAATGGGGATTTCAATGAAACCTTGTGCATTACTGTGATCGGCAAATGAGCTGTCTAGGCAAAGCCTAGGCACACAGCCAGGCCCCAGTGAAGTCAGTTCACTCCTGCAGGGTGGGTGGAAGTGCATCCCCCGACACCCCCTTTCTTCCTTTAAGCAGTGCCCTTTAGGCAGGAGACCAACACCACGTGAAGCAGCTCAAAGGTCTTCCCCACTTACGTACCCCATAGAGGAGCCGGGCCTGGGCCAGGGCATTACCAAAAGCAAACAGGATCATCTTGGCCCGCAGCTGATCTGGCCGAAAGCGGTATGGTTTTACATGGGCTGTGTCCAGGACGTACAGAGTGTGGGGATGGGGGTAAGGATAACCCTCTTGGAATCCTGCAAGAGACGTTAATCGTGTGAAGGGGTGGAAAAAGTTAATTAGCCCTGATGCAAAGCCTTAGGAAAATAACCTCACTTCAGCCCAGGGGCAGGCACTACAGAGAGACTCAATAAAGGTAGATATTACTGCTACAGCTCAGGGTCTGGGAAACTTCAGCCTACTGGTTGGCCTGCTGCCTGTTTTGTAAATAACATTTACTGGAGCACAACCACACTCACTCATTCACGTATGTCTACTGGGTAGCTCAACAGAGACCATATGTGGCCTGCAAAACCTAAAATATTTACTGTTTGGTTTCTCACAGAAACTGCTTGCCAACCTGCCTAGGTGCGTCTTGCACACTGGTTCTAACTCCACCCCTTTCTTTCTCATTCAGGTGCACAGATGACAGTGAGGTTAGGAGAGGGATATCTGCAATCTGTGGTAACTATTATTGTTATTAATATTTTTAGCAGCATGTCCCTATAACCAAACTGTGGTAATTATTAAAAAGACAGCAAGTCTTATACCTGTCCTGTTAGGAAAAAAAAGAAAAAGAAAAAAGACACCAAGTAATTTCAAAGTTCAGTGGTTAATATTAGTAACAAATGTCTTGCCTCATAATTCACAACTGATCCGCACAACACTGGTGCTGAGAATCAATGTTTAGCACTTGCTCAACTTGGCCATGACCCTGTCAAGTCATGGTTCTCTTCTGCATGGCTATACATAATGCTTGGTAGGTGGGGACTTCTAGAATGTGTGACCTGGATTAGTGGATGTGAGTGAAAAGAAGGAAGAAAGAGACTAGGAAAATGTGGCTGAGAAACCCCAGAGGAGCACACCACCCGAGAGAGAGCTGGCTTTCCTGCACGCCTTGGTCCTTCAGTCTGCTTAGGTCCTCAGCACAGGTAAATACCCAGCACCCACTCTGCGCCAAGCCCTATGGCAGGTACTGGGAACAAAGGCCAAGCAGGGCCTGCCATTGCTTTTGAGGAGGGGAGAAAGACAGGAAAATCTATCATAGCTGTTGGAGGGGTATGTCAAGATAGGAGGTGAGTCGGGGATGTGGCAGGGCAGATGAAAGGGCCCTAATTGAGACTGGAAGATTCTCAACCTTTTCTTGGAGAAAGTGATTCCTGCTATGAATTATGAAAGAAAAAGCATTAGCAAGCAGAAGACAAAGGGAAAGATGGTGGAGAGCTCCAGGCAGAGGGAAGAGGATGTACCCAAGCCGGTGATAAGAACAGGATATGTCAATTATGATGAGAAGAAAGGGGGCCAGAAAACAGGGGCAGAGGCAAAGGTGAGGCTGGAGAGGGGGCAGAGGCCAGACCATGAAGGCCTCACACAATGAGCTAAAGAGGTCTGACTTTACCTGGCAGGAAATGGGAGGGCATGCAGAGAGGCAGGATCCAACTGGTGTCTTAGAAAGGCTACTCTAGATTGTGAACTAGACGGACTGGATAGAAAATAACCTAGGATTAGACTGACTAGTTGGGAGGCTGCAGCAACAGGCTAGGTAAGGGCCGTAAGGACTGACCTAGGTCACGGTTGTGAAAATGAAGGGGTTTATGAGGAATGTGCTACAGCTGATGATGACAGAGCAGATGGCAGGAATTCTGTCTTAGCTCACTGAGTGTATGGGGGGGAGGGGCTTGTTTGGTGCAGTAAGGATTAATGGCTCCATTCAATGTTCATGAGACTTCCTCAGTCCTTAAAAGAGTTGGCCAGAGTTTACAGGGTAAATAGAAAGAGGGTGTCTTTCAAAGGACCTATGAATAAAGGAAAAGCCTTGGTCAAAGCTCCGCAAGCCACTTAAAACTCTGATGTTATAGTTACTTCTCAGGGATAAAAAGCAAAGCAGGCTTTGAGCAAATCACTTAACCTCCCTGAGCTGCAGGTTCCTTGCCTATAAAATGGAGATGAGAGTACCCGTCTCATGGGGCTACCACATCGATTGAGGAAGTAACACATGGAGGGGCCTAGCACCTAATAAGGTCCTTTATATCCTATCCACCTAATACATCCTTTCCCTTCATAAAAAGCCTGTCCCTTGTCTCCACAATGCCTAAAACTCAGAGGCTTTGATCCTTACCTGTGTCGTCCTTCACATCATAAGCACTGCATTCCTGAAGATCGATAGTGGGGGATATGGGATAGAAGGTCTCAAGAACATGATCTTTAGTAGCTTCGACCTCCTCTCTGGAGGCGATAGGGGACAGAGGATCCTTGGCATTCAATCGGGCTCCACTAGAACCACGGACCTGAAAGAGAAAAGACTCTAAAAGGAGAGAAAGATGATTAGTCTAACCTAGTCTAGAACCTGTTCTAAACTCAGCAAAGTCTAAAGCCTTCATCCTCCGATGTGCCTCAAGTCATTTATAGCTTTTCCAGATGATCAGCCTAATCACAGAATACAAAACTTTGACTTAGAATGTTAATCCTGGAACCCTTGTGAGGGGTAGTGAACCAGCACACTCTTCCTCCTGTGTTCCCTTCCCAATAAACCCTGAGGGCTGGTGGTCTCTGGGAGTCTAGGTCTGTCCCATACAGATCTTCCTGAGAACCTGCCCGAAGCCGGGAACCCAGAGATGAGTGAGAGTTACTCTCTACTCTCAAGTAGCTTACCAGGTAGTAAGTGCTACAACAAAAGGTATGAAACATATTCAGAAATAGTCCAGGTGGGGAAAACTGACCTTCTCTGGGAAGTTCCCTGAAAGAATAGGTGCCTTAAAACTATGTTTTAAAAGATGGACAAGAGTAGGGTTTCTCAATTCTGGCACTATTCACTTTTGGGGCCAGATAATTCTTTGGTGAGGGGGGCTGTCCTGTGTACTGTGGGACATTTAGCAGCATCTCTGGCCTCTACACACTGGATGCAGTAGCACTCCTTCCTCATCCCATCCCCTACACCCTATCCAGGTCATGACAATCAAAAATGTCTCCAGATGCTGCCAAATGTCCCTTAGAAGGCAAAACCATCCTTGGTTGAAAACCACTGGGTAAGAGCTTGTCAGGCAAAGAAAGCAAGGGGAAAGCATTCTACTTAAGGAGGAGGACCATGAGCAAAGGCACAGGAGTGTACAACTTCATGGCAGAGTCTAGAGAAATAAACCCAGATGACTAGAGTGTGGTACAGCAGGAAAGGAGGAATGGTGAGAAGCACTGACACTAGTGGTGGGAGAGAGACTATTAAACCTAGGAAAAGGGGCCAGGCACTGTGGCTCACACCTGTAATCCTAGCACTCTGGGAGGCCAAGGTGGGAGAATTGCTTGAGGTCAGGAATTTGAGACCAACCAGGGCAAGAGAAAGACCGCATGTCTACTAAATATAGAAAATAATTAGCCAGACATGGTAGTGCATGCCTGTAATCCTAGCTACTTGGGAGGCTGAGGCAGGAGGATTGCTTCAGCCCAAAAGTTTGAGGTTGCTGTGAGCTAGCCTGACACCATGGCACTCTAGCCTGGGTGATGGATGAAGTAAGACTGTCTCAAAAAAAAAAAAAAAAACTAGGAAAAGAGCCAGCTTGTCCTTAACGACTGACAGTGAAAACAACTTGGCCTGCCAGAAAGCCTTACTTCATCTGGATTAGCATGTATGCTACATGGATAGCATAGTAGGTGGTATGAGGAAACAAATTCACACCTGACTGATCAGCGAGCCTGCCACTGTGAACGTATGGGGGTGCCCTTCACAGAGGTCCCCATGCCACCGCCAGGCAAAATGTACCTAGAAAACCTTCCTGAGAATGGCCTCCTGAGGAGTCTCCATAGAGAAAAATCTTCCTCTGAAGGTGTTTAGATCTTTAGAAATACTCAAATCAGTGTGATGATGTGGATCAAGGCTGATTTTCTTGTCTTAAAAATTGGTGTGGGCCGGGTGCGGTGGCTCACGCCTGTAATCCTAGCACTCTGGGAGGCCGAGGCGGGCGGATCGCTCGAGGTCAGGAGTTCAAAACCAGCCTGGGCAAGAGCGAGACCCTGTCTCTACTATAAATAGAAAGAATGAATTGGCCAACTAATATATATAGAAAAAATTAGCCGGGCATGGTGGCGCATGCCTGTAGTCCCAGCTACCCGGGACTGCTGAGGCAGCAGGATTGCTTGAGCCCAGGAGATTGAGGTTGCTGTGAGCTAGGCTGATGCCACAGCACTCACCCTAGCCTGGGCAATAAAGTGAGACTCTGTTTCAAAAAAAAAAAAATTGGTGTGGTCAATAGCACTGTCTTTTAATTTCCACAGGTGGCCTCCCTTACTGAGTATGCAGAAAAGGGTTACTACGTCTGCGGATAGAGCAACTCTGACCTGTTTGCTCCATACATCATACTCACACCTCAAGAATAGTTTCCTAAAGTACTTCCTGTTTCCTCACATATTATCTGCAGAGAAAATAAATGTGCCTGGACCTCTCCTAACCTTGGTTTTTAGATTCTCCCCACAGACCGCCCTAGTGTGGTTTCTAATTCAATTCCCTCCACATCCCTCCTCCAGTGACAGCTCCAAATGGGGCAGTTTAATTAGAGGTAATACTTGATGATGGGCCAAAAAGTACTCCTCTATTAATGAGGTTCACTAATTTCCTCAGTGGTGCCATTACCTCTGCAAAGCTGACTCCTTGCCAGGAAGCCCATACACAAGGGGGCAAGCTGGAGAGACCTGACCAAGCAGATGTCCTGAAATCCCAAATCAGGCCACAGCTGGTTTCCCTGCTCTCAGAGTCTACCAGTTAGAACATCTGTGTTCTCTGAACACCCCTGCCTGAGGCACCTGAGAGTTGGTATTCATCACCTATCCCTTCAGTCAGCACCGACTGTGTGCCACTATTAGACACTGTGTACAAAATGAGTAAGACATGGTCCCTGCTGTCAGGAGTTCACAGCTGAGTGGTGCAGACATAACAACTATCAGATACTGATGGTGTAGTGTAGTCTGTGCTATGATGGCACAGTGGGCATGAGGAGCACAGAGGAGGAACAGCTACCTCAGCCTGGATTCATAGAGGAGGGGCTTGAGTGGAGTCTTACAAGTAAGTAGAATGTGGTTAAATGAGGAAAATGGGAAAGAGCATTCCAGACAGAATGCACAGCATGTGCCAAGGCACAAGGGTGCAAGAGCTTGATGCCAAAAAGCTGCAAGTGGCTAATTTAGGGATGGGGCGGGACAGTAGAGCAGAAGAAAGGACTAGAAAGACTAGGTGGGGGCCAAATCACGAGGGCCGGTATACCATGACAAATGATTTACGCTACTGGGAGACAGTGAAGGATCAGAAACAGGGAAGGGACATGAAAAGACTTGTACTTTAGGCTGGGTGCAGTGGCTCACGCCTGTAATCCTAGCACCGAGGCAAGGCGGGGGCGATTGCCTCGAGGTCAGGAGTTCAAAACCAGCCTGAGTAAGATAGGCCCCATCTGCTACTATAAAAGAAATAAATTAATAGGGCCACAATATATACAGAAAAAATAGCCAGGCATGGTGGGCATGCCGTAGTCCCAGCTTATCAGAGGCGGGCAGTCAGGCGTTTGCGTGACCAGGCTGACAGCCATGCACTACTCTAGCCTGGGCAACAAAGCAAACCTGTCTCAAAAAAAAAAAAAAAAAAAAAAGAGTTCAAGACCAGTCTGAGCAAGAAATGACCCCACCTCCACAAAAAGAAAAAGTTAAAATAGAAAAAATTTAGCCAGGTGTGGTGGCGCATGCCTGTAGTTCCAGCTACTCAGCTGAGGCAGGAGGATCACTTGAGCCCTGGAATTTAAGGGTGCAGTGAGCTATGATGATAACACTACATTCTACTCAGGGCGACAGAGCAAGACCCTGTCTTAAGCCACACAGGTCGCACAGACCACACTTAATCCTAGCACTCTGAGCTGAGATGTGAGATACTTAGCATCAGGAGTTCGAGACCAGCCTGACAAGAGTGAGACCCTGTCTCTACTGATAAGTAGAAAAACAGCCTGGCCAGGGTGCCCATCCCTGTATCCACTACCTGTGAGGCTGAGGCAGAAGGATCGCTTGAGCCCAGGAGTTGAGGTTGCCTTGAGTTAAGCTGACACCACTGCACTCTAGCCCAGGCAAGAGTGAGACTCTCTCTCAAAAAAAAAGAAAAACACACAAAAAAGACTTGCACTATAGAGAGACCACTCTAGTAGCAATGTTGAAAATGGATTTGGAAGAGTAGAGATGTGTGAATGGGTAAGACTGTTAACAACAGAATATGAGCTTGTGAAGGCAGAGACTATATATGCTTTATTAATTCCCTATCTTCAGTATTTAGTCATTCCTAAGCACATGGTAGGCACTCAACAGACCTGGCAGACTGTTAATGGTTGAAGTAATAGTCTTAGAAGTGATTAAAAACAAAAATGGCTGGGCTATGGATACTGAGGATGTGTCTGAGCCTACAAAATTAGACCACGAACTATGGGAGTGAGGAAAGGTATTTGTAGGGAGGGAGATGTGAGCTGGTGGTGAGACTAAAAGTAGAAATATTGAAAAAAGCAGACCAAAGTTTTCTGGTATACAAGATGACTAACCTCGATTCCAAGAGGCGGATAACTTATAGTTTTTGACACAGATCCGTCTGACCAGAGAAGGATGCTTGAGAATCTGGGATTTACACAGCTGTATCATACTGTCCACAATGACCGGGCTTGGAGGAAAAAAGAGACATTTGGAAACTTAAAGCAACAGGTGACTCTGATATCCACTGGTTGAAAACCTTATTAACTTGGGGGAACTTACCAGTAGGTCTGTCTCTTGGGGATGTCCTCGGTGGAATGCCAGAGACGGGCATGAGAGATCACGTCCAGAACACGCTTATCTTGGTTCTCTATGTGGTTTCTTGGGTCATCAACAAGGCTAAGCACCTTCTCAGGAAGGCCTTCTATTAACTTGGCCTTGGTAAGCCAGAGGGCCTGCTTTACACCTTTGGAGTAATCAGCCACAAAAAAAAAACAAAAACAAAAAAACGATTCAAGAAGAGATGCTTATAACCTGCCAGGTAGCATCTTGGGGAAAAGGCTGCCTCAAAAGAGAAACTGAATTTGTTCTGTGACACCTGAGGAGACAGAATCAAAAATGAAGAGAAGCTAGGAGAGCCAGATTTCAACTCAACTTTAGGAATGACCATGTACTTCAGGACAGTTAATAACTGATGGAGGTAGTGAGAAGTGAGCGCCTGCCATGGGAGGCATTCAAACAGTGGCTAAGCTTCTGAGATTGTATGGTTGATGGCCAGTAGGAGACAGACTCTAGGCCATGGAACTAGATGAATGCCAGCCCTTCTCGTAAGATCCTTTCTATTAACCCACACCCCAGCCCTGACTAGAAAAGCCCACATCTACCAAATATACCTCATTTATTAGCTGTGGGCCCAGCATTAGGCCCATGATGCCTTATCAAGGAAAAGCATGGAAATAATGGAAATAACTTTTGGATCTCCATGTATACCTTAAAGAGCCCTGAGTTTGGGGCTACTTATACAGATAATTTTTCACATCTCATCTTAACCCTGAGATTATATAATGAGCTATTTTATAAACAGATGTTTGCATGAGGCAGCCCTACAACATGTACTGCTGTATTTGTCAAAAGGGTCACACTGAGGATGTCATTCTATTCATTACACAGGGTGTTCTCTGAGACATTCTGAACCTCTCTCTGGCCTTATTGTAGAAAGGTGGGGCTTTTACACAGTGAATTACATAACTGAAATTTTTCTCTATATTGGGGGGAGAGGCAACAAACATTTTCTTTAAGTAAACACTTCCTGGCTGGGCGTGGTGGCTCACGCCTGTAATCCTAGCTCTCTGGGAGGCTGAGGTGGGTGGATTGCTCAAGGTTAGGAGTTCAAAACCAGCCTGAGCAAGAATGAGACCCCGTCACTACTATAAATAGAAAGAAATTAATTGGCCAACTAATATATAGAAAAAAGTAGCCGGGCATGGCGGTGCATGCCTGTAGTCCCAGCTACTCGGGAGACTGAGGCAGCAGGATCGCTTGAGCCCAGGAGTTTGAGGTTGCTGTGAGCTAGGCTGATGCCATGGCACTCACTCTAGCTTGGGCAACAAAGTGAGACTCTGTCTCAAAAAAAAAAAACCACAACAAAACACTTCCAGCTTCTGAGCTATAGTCTCTGTCACAACTACTCAACTCTGCCATTGTAGCATGAAATCAGAGATAGGCAGTAATTAACAAGTGTGCACAGTTTTCTTCCAATACAACTTCACTTACAAAAACAAGTAGCTGGCCTAGTTAGAAGATCCCAGTCCTGTACCATTCTTGACTGGTAGCACCTCAGAGTCAAATTTGGGGCTCCCCTTTAGCAAGCAAAACCTCACAGAATGGATTTTTTTTTTTGGTATTTACCCCATTGTTTTATTTTTCCTTTATACTGATTCCCTCACCTATTTTTATTTAATCTGGTTGTGTTTTAAATAAGCTGCCCAAAATAGTCTTCAGGAAAAGATAATGTATAAGTAAACTAAAATAGAATCAATTTAGACTGTGTCTTTAAACATTTAAGGACACTTAGCTACTCTCAGTGGGACGGGCTATGGTGCCAGGTAAAACCTCCCTAGCTTCACTTTCCCTAAATTTGGCTTCCTTAAGGAAGGAACAGGCTTAGCCTAGGTACCTGAGTTCTGGATCCAGTCTTCTAGCCTCAGATGAAAGTTAACTCTATATTCTTTTCCATGATTGTGCCCACAAGTTGAGAGAGGGCTGGTGACTGCTTTGGTTAGCCAGCTACCTATCCCAGCTGGAAAAATACTACCCCGACTCAGGAACATATCTTCATTTGAAAAACTATGTCTGGGATGAAAGGGAATCTAGGGCACTTTTGGGGAGACACACGTAGGCAATTTTTCTTGTGGTAATAAACGAAAGGCAATGAATACAATGAGACTTTTCACTTTAAGGCTCATAAGGCATCACAACAGAAATACAAATATTTAGAAATGTAACTTCTTGATTTTGTGGCACAGCAGAAAGAACCTTGGACTGGGGGTCAGATAAACTGAGTTTGAATCCTGACACTGCCACTGTTTACTTGAAAATGGATAAAATATTAAGATTTCATGGGCTGGCCTGAGTGCAGTGGTGATTACAACTAATTGGTCACAACTGGTTACAGATTCCTTTGTTTGTTCTCCACTTCCACTGCTTCACTTGACTAGTAAAAAAATTTTTTCTTCAATTTAAAAAAATTAAGATTTTATGGTTCACTAGCATATGAATAATATGTAATAATGAGAGCTGCCACTTACTGAATGTTACCATCTACCCTGTGCCAGCAGCTTTACCTGCAAGATAGATGGTATTTTAGGGAATGAAGGTTGAAAGTCAGAAAGACTAAGGAATTTGCTTAAAGTCACATACCTTGTAGGTGATGGGGCTGGAAGGAGAACCTGAGTCTGTCAGCTCTAAAGACCATAATCTCTCCATTACCCCAATCAGCTTCTCTAGCCCTGTATCTTGCAGAGTTTAATACAGACTTTATAGAACCTCTTCGTGAGTGTGAGTGGCAAAAGCACAGGATATAAGATACATTTTTCAGCCTAGTTAAACAAGTGTAATCTTAACTTCTAAAATACTACTAATGCATTCATCCACTTGGCATTCTGTTACCAGGTTCACTCAAGGGTGCCAAGTCCTGTGAGATCCTTCGCAGCACTTGTGAGGACACTGGAAGCATTTAAAGGTTGGAAAATCAAGCTGGGCACGGTGGCTCACGCCTGTAATCCTGGCACTCTGGGAGGCGATGCAGGCAGACTTTTTGAGCTCAGGAGTTCGAGACCAGCCTGAGCAAGAGTGAGATTCCTCCTCTACCAAAAATAGAAACAATTAGCTGGGCATGTGGTGCACATGTCTGTAGTCCCAGCTACTCAGGGCTGAGGCAGAAGGATCCCTTGAGCCCAGGAGTTTGAGGTTGCTGTGAGCTAGGCTGATGCCACGGAACTCTCTAGCCAGGGCAACAGAGTGCAATTCTGTCTCAAAAAAAAAAAAAAAAAATAGCCAGCCTACTGAAAATAGAAACAAACAAACAAAAAAATTAGCCAAACGTAGTACTCGCGCCTGTAGTCTCAGCTACTCAGGAGACTGAGGCAAGAGGATCTCTTGAGCCCAAGAGTTTGAGGGTGCTGTGAGCTAGGCTGACACCACAGCACTCATTCTAGCCCAGGCAACAAAGTGAGACTCTATCTCAAAAAAAAAAAAATCTCAGCTTTGACCTTTGACAAAGGACACTGACCTAGGAAACCAAAGTTGTAGTTCTGGCTTCACTATTAATGCACAGTATGCCTGTGGGCAAATCATTTCCCCTCTCTGTTACAATTACCAATCCTGTAAAACCAAGTGATAGGCCTAAAGATTAAGCACTTTCTGCTGTCTCTTTCCACTATAATTTCCCTCCATCTACTTCTTAAATGTACAGTTTAAACTTCAGTTTAGAACTGTAAAGGTCAATGTGGATGTCAGTCAAAACCATTCAATCCACAAGAAGTGGGGGTTCACGAAGGCCAGCCACTTGCCCAAAGTCACACAGAATTAGAGCCAGGGCTAGGCCTAGAAGAAGCCAGGTCTTTTCATGTTGACACTCTTTCTATTACTCCCTCACCAAGCACAGCTTTTTGCATTCACTTAATCCTGACAACTTTCAGAAAATGGGAATCACTACGGCCCCATATTGCAGATAAAGAAACCGAGACCCACACAGTTTCAATGTCTTGCCCAAAGCTACAGAGGGTCAGGGTCAGTGCTGGGCAGAGGAACGAGGTCCCCTCCCACCTGCCCTGGGGCCTCACCCTCAAGAAGGCGGCAACGCTGGTGGAAGACGTAGCAGGGCTGGTCTTTATACAGCGGGTGCTCGTGAATTGGGGGCGAGCGGTCGAACTTTGGGTGCTTCCAGCCGCGGTCCCAGGGCGGGAAGATCGGCCGCGCCAGCCCCGGCATGAAATGCATCTTCCCTGCGTAAGTGATGGGCTCCACTCCAGGGATCTCATACACCCTGTCCAGGGGAGGAGGCTCGGGCTTCCGCGTGGAGCGCACGCCCCACTCGTACGCCCCGCGTCTCGGGGTTCCGCAGCCCCCAAGGCCAAGGCCAAGGCCAAGCCGCTCGGAGCCAACCAGCGCCCGCTTAGCGGGCCCCGACACCAACGCCATACCGATCTGGTCTCCTCAAGACCTCCACCTGAGCGCTGCCATCTTCCCCCGCGCAGGGCCTGCTGGGAACGAAAGGGGCTTGGCGCCAAGGCTTGTTTTGTGAATGGCAGACACTTCAACCAATCACTGTCAGGAATCCTCGTTTGCCGCCCACCCCCCACTTCTCTGCAGGTCGGTCTCGTTTTCTTATAGGTGGAACCTGCTAAGCGCTCCCCGCCTCCCCGCGGGTGGGGCGGAACCTGGAGGAGCCTCACGTGAGGGGAAGGGCAGGAACCTAGGTGAGTGGTCGTGGTAGGGACTGGGACGGGAGGAGGCGAAGAGCGCCAGGACTTCAAACCTGGGGTTAGTTGCTAGACCGCTTAAGAGCTGTTGGAGCTGGAGCAGGGCACTTGCTTCTACTGAGCCCCAATGTCCCTCGCTGAAAAAATAGGGATAGAAATGCCTAAGCTGGCGCACCTGTACACCGCCCGGCACACAGTGGGTACTTGGTAAAAGTTTCCTGTGCTTTCACCCACTTCTCACTGCTGCGGGCGCTTCTGTCGCTGCCCCTCCGTGAGCCTCCAGGCCAGCTCTGCGCTTTACTGCTCGCACGCCTGTTCCCAGCGCGCCAAAGCGAGCCTTCCGCCTTTCCCTCAGGATTCCCTTTATTTTTATTTTCATTTTTATTTTTTTGAAAGAGAGGGTTCTTGCTATGCCCAGGCTAGAGTGCAGTAGCGCCATCATAGCTCACTGTAGCTTCCAGCTCTTCAGCTCAAGGGAACCTTGGCCTCCCAAGTAGCTGAGATACAGCTGCGCAACCACGCTGCTACTTTTATTTTTGTAGAGACCATAGGTATTACTGTGTTTCCAGCTGTCTCAAACTCCTGGCTGCAGGATCTCTCGCCTAGCCTCTCAAAGGGGGAGGTGGTGCGGGTATTACATGTTGACCACCAGCCACCAATCCTTGCTGCCTAAAGCAGGCTTTAGGCGGGATGGATCTATTCCTCTTTCCCGGGCCCAACACCTATTTATCATATACCTACTGTGTATCAGGCTGTGCTAAGCACTGGTTGGCATTTGTGTAAAACAAATACAGATGGTGCAGGATTATTGTCAAGCAGCTGGTAGCATAAATAAGTCAATTGCAATGCACACACTTCCTATCCCTGTCCCTAGTTTATTTTTCGTCTTTTAGGAATTTCAACACTGGAGGGGGACCCGTATGGTTTCTCCGATCTGTGGAGTGGACGGTCCCCACTGAGGATATACGGCTGCACATGGAGTGCTAGTGTGGTTTCTGTTTCGGTTTAGCTGCTTGGTTTGGATGAATCAAATATAGCAGAATAACTGGAATAGATGTGCTTTTGATAGAGAAGAGAAGGTTCAGGGAGAGGCCCTTGAGGGAGTGAATTATGCACGTCTGAAGGGTGTACGGAATCATGCCGTCCTGAGGCAGCAACATGTTTCAAGGCCGACTAAAGATAGGTTGCCTGTACAGGGAAAAGGTGGAGGCTGAGAGGAGGCATGAGGAGGCTCTTTAAAGTCATGGAGATGGAGAGCCTGAGGCGGCTCTCCAATTCTAAATGGCAGATGAAAGTGGGATTATTAAAACATAGAGAAGGTGAATTTAAGGCAAAGACTGATATGACCCTCATCCTGAATAGCAGTTTACAGTTAACAGAGCTCTTTCCCTTATCTCCCTTTAGCCCGCAAAAACCCCAGGGATAAGAACCATGGCAGGAATCAGAGACCGGACCTATTACTACGATTTATACAGATCTGTAGAAGCATGCTCTAGAAATTGAATTGATATAACACCATGCTAGGCTGTGAGGCTCTATGAAGCTTGGGACTGTGATCTGTTTACCTCTGTTGCATCCCAGCACCTAGCACTGTACTAACTCCCAGAACATATTTGTAAACTGAATGAAGATTCACCAAAAACTTCCACATGCCAGGCTGTGCTTGGTGGTGGAATACAGAAAGAATAAGACACCATCCTTGTCCTCAAGGGGGTCCCCACCTGCTAAACCTTCCTGAAGATAGGAGCTCATGAGCAGTAGAACCAGGTTTTCTGAAGCCAAACCCTATCTTCTATTAAAGAAAGATTTATCTTGCACAGAGGGACTGCCCTTCTAAAACCAATGATAATAACTGGTAAGTCCTTCCCCCTCAGGCAGCAGATTCCATGGTCGATCCATCCCTGTCCCCAGTGCTTGCACAGAGCCTGGTACTGGCAGGCCTCAGGGGGAATGTGAGGAATAGAGGATACTTGAATATAATCCCCATGTTTTCTCTCTCTTAGGCTGACAAGGGAAAGGCCTGGGCCCATTCTGGGAATAGCACCGGTTGTCCCTCCCAGGCTGTCCAGGCCCCACTGGCAATGGGTGAGAGGGAGGAGGACACTGAGGAAGCCTGGCTGCAGCTGCGGCCCGTCGAGCCCTTGCCCTCCCAGTGCTGCGGCGGTGGCTGCTCACCCTGTGTGTTCGACCTCTACCACCGAGACCTGGCAAGGTGGGAGGCAGCCCGAGCCAGCAATGACAGGAGCCTGCTGAGTGGGCAGAAGTCACAGGTGAGAGAGGCTACTCCTCAGACAAGACGGCCAGGTGGCAGGGTCTACCTGCATTGGCTCTGCCCAGCGTACCTGCTCTGTATGGCAGAAAGAAAAGAGTATTAACAGATCCAGGGTCAGAGCCCAGCCTTGGAACGAACTTATTAGCAGCTGTGTGGTTTTAGGCAAAGTCCTTTAATCTCCCTAAGCCCTAGTTTCCCCATCTATAGAATGAGGCTAAACATCTGTGATGTTTAGCACAGAGCTTGACATTCATTTCATTTAACAAATATTTACTGAGTACCTATTATGTACCTGGCCCTATGAGACACTGGGGATTTGAGAGTCAGCAGGACAGACACAGTCCTTGCCCTGTTGAGCAAACTAGCAAATTGTTTATACTAGGAAAATGGAGCAATGGTGGTGGTAGTTCTCCAGCCCTCACGGACTTTTTCCTCCTGTTTCGAACTCCTAGGGGACTTCACAGACCAAGCAGTTTAGCCCTTCATTCCTGTTAGGGAGGGTTTCCAGTTACAGTTGTAGATGTCAGAATACCATGGAGTTCAACCTTGTATTATTCAGATAGGGAAACTGAGGACCCATTCCTTCTGACACTGTGCACAGGTCTGGTTTTGAGTCTCCCCATCCTGCTCTCCCACCTCTGAACAGCCTTCCTGTTGTTCCTGTCCCTCCCACCTGGTGTGGAGTACAGACATTTCCTCCCATTTCTGCCTCTGTTAATGCAGTCTGGTGTCACCTTCACTTTTTGGCGAACCATTCCCCATTTTGAGGGCCCAAACTGGACCAAAGCTTAGTCATTTTTATACATGTTGTTCCTAAGCTAGAGAGCATACATCCCGAACAAATAGCTGTTTTTTTTTAACCCCCCAAAGTGACTTTATATTTATCCCTGTTAAATGTCTTCTTGTAGTTCTGCCACTGGAAGGTGTTGGTGGGGACCAGACCCCTATGGCCTCCACCAGTGACTGGGGGACATTCATGACAACCTCTCTGCTTCTTCCTTCTCCACCTGGCTCACCCCTTCACTTCTTTCTGATCTCTGCCCAAATTTCATTTTTCTTCCTAATTTGCAGTACCACTAGACACACCTAAATGTACTTGTTTGTATGTATAGTGTCCATGTCTCCTTGCTAACACATCAGTCCTGTAAGAGAAGGGGACTCTTGTCTTGCTCACTGTTCTATCCTTGGCACCTTGAGCAGTTCTTGGCATTATAATTGGCACTCAATAAATATTTTTTGAATGAAGAAATAAGTTTCTCCCAGATCTACTGAGTATCACGCCCTGTGTGCTAGGCATAAGGAGGTTGATGGTAAAGATGCCAGGGTACCAGCCCTCAAAAAACTCAGCTTCTGGATGGAAGACAAAGAACTACAGAGGGGTAATGGAAAGAGTAAGAACTGAGGCCCAGTTCTGACAGTTAATCGTGTGGTATTGGGCATATCATTTCAGTTTGCTAAACCTCAGTTTCTCATGTGAAAGACAGGATGTTAATACTTACTTTGTGGGTTGTTATGAAGATTTAATGGGAAAAATAAGTAAAGCACCTGGCACATAGTAGGTGCTTAGAAAATAGTTGTCATCATCTATTATACCAAATAGAAAATTAAATGATACTATAAGATTTTGTCCTATTAAGTAATATATTTCAATTTAATAATAAATTTTATTTTTAAACTTTTAATGAAGCAATAATAATAGAAAAATATTTTATATTCCATAGTAATTTGTCATTTTAAAAAATGCTTTTACATTGCGTTTCATCTGACCCTCATAATAACCCTATAAAGTTATCAGAGATGAGCAGCTCTCTTCAGAGACTAGGAAACCGAGACCCAGGGGATCAGATATATGCCTGGGGCCCCACGGGTGGACAGCCACTAAGCTGGGGTTAAACCCTGTTCTCCTGACTCCCAGCCCAGTGCTTTTTGCACAGTGCCAGGCAGCTGTGACAGAGGGTGCCAGCTGCTTTGGCTGATAATGAAAAGGTCGTCCTGGATGAAGATGTGGGAGTGGGTACCATGGGGACAAGGCCTTGATGCCAAGCCTGAGAGTTTCTGTCGGTTCTGTGGCACTGTCAGCACTACCATTGGGGTTCCAGAGTTGGTGCCGCAGGTGCCAGGCCCTGAGCTGGGCATGAGGTAGTCTCAGGTGTGGGCATTTTACAGGAGAGAAAGATCTGTGAGTCATGGCATTCAGAGAAAGCTTCCTAGAGGAGGTGTAGGTCAGGGTGAAATGTGAAGGACAGTGGGCTGAGACTTAGAAGCGTGCATTTGAGTCCCTGTTTACAGTGCAACCTTGGATAAGTACACTACCAACACTCAGGCCTCAATTTTACCATGTATAATATTAGGATATTGGATTAGACAATCTTTGCAGCCCCATCAGTTTCCAAATTCTGCAAATCTGGATTTTAGCAGGTTTCAAGAATGGGTAGATCTTTCCTGCACTGGAAGTGAGTGTTCTGGATAGAGGGCACAGCTTGAGCAAATACAGACTCAGGTAGGAGGCAGTGGGTGTTATTTGGGAAGACAGAGGATGGAGAAAAGTCTGGCATCTGCTGCACGGGAGATAAAATGAGCCTCGAGGGTCATCTGCAGGGCCATTTAGTGTCTAGCTATGGAGCATGCACTTTACCCTGGAGCTGAGGGGAGCCGTGGAAGGCTTAAGAGCAGGGCAAGCTCAATGTAAAGTGCTCTGGCATTCTTGGATCAGATCATGAAAAGGAAGGTAAGGTGGAACTACTCTCCATTGTACGGGAAACTTACCGACTGAGATTGCCTCTCCTTGGGGAAAGTGGAAGGGGACGCTTGTGTTTCCGTTAAGCCCCTGCCTCTAGCTATTGGATCTCTTGTTGCAGAGCTGCCCCTCCAAGCTGAGCCCAGAGACCTTCCTGGCCTTCCACATCAGTGCCATGGACAAACTCACGAAGGACACTTACTGTGTTCGATTTGCACTACCTGGGAACAGCCAGCTCAGCCTGCAGCCTGGCCAGCACCTCATCCTACGGTATACTCAGGTAGTGGGAGGACCAAAGCTTTGCAGCCCTGCTTTGCCATGTGCTAGCTGGGTGACCTTGGGCCACTTGCTAACACCTCCAGTTGTCATCTTCAAATAGACACAGTGATACGTGACTTAGAGGGTTCTTGGGATTGACCTAGATGATGCATTTTCGTAATAAATAATAGTTAATTTGAGCACTTGAGTAGCATTTACCATCCAAGGCAGAGTTCCGTGTGAACTCATTTAACCCTCATGAAGTCCTTTGTGGTAAGTGCCATTGTATCCCACAGAAGAAACTGAAGTCAGAGGTTCAGGAACTTGCCGAAGGCTACACAGTTAGCACCAGTTGACAGAAAGGACAGTCATTGAGGATAAAGGGCTTGCCCAGTATCACATAGCTAATAAGTCATGGAGCCAGGATTCAAACCCACACAGCCTGGCCTGAGTTACACTCTCAGCCACTGAGCTTCCTTCTTCCTCTCCGCCTACTTAGGCACTCCTCCCACCCTGATCCCATCCTCACCTGCCGAGGGGCAAGACCCTTTGGGATGTCCAGATAGAGGTGTCTGCCAGGCAGTTGGCTCTGAGTCTGGGGCTCAGTAGAGAGGTCTGAGCTGCAGACATGGATCCGGGGGTGATTGGCCCATACCTGGATGCTTTTGGGAACATGTGTGCATGGAAAGAGGACAGGGCACAGAAATGAACCCTGGAAACACCAGCATTTACAGTGTCGGCAAGAGGAGGAGGAGCCAGCAGTCAGAGGACAAGGTGGGAACCAGAACAGAGCTTATTGTTGGCCAGACTCTGGCCACTTGCCTTACACTGGCCCCTGGTATTTGTGTCCAGCTCATTCTGGCCTGTGACCTGCCCAGTGATCCTTGGAGTTCACTACTTCAGTGGGCAGGAGGAGCCACAAGGCAGATCACAACCCCACACAACCCTCTACCAGTAAACTCTGTGCTGCCCAGAACTCCTGCCTCTAGGCTGGCTCCTGTCCCCCATCCTCTGCCACTCCAGTGACATTCCTAACACATACCTCTGACCTTGTCACTCCCTGCTCAGACACCTTCTAGTGTGCCACACTGCCTCTATGATGACATCCTAACCCAAGACCCCTAGCTTTCTTTCCCACCGAGTTCTTCTCCCTCCCCTACCCCCCACACACCACTCGTCTCAGCCCCTGCTCCACCTGATGGTTCCTGGTGTGCCCACATCGTCGTACTCTAAGCTTTTGCTCTGGCTCTTCCCTCTGCCTAAATTCGCTTCCCTTCCTGTCCCCACCTTCACCTACCAGTGGCCTGCTTATCTTTTTTTTTTTTTTTTTTTTTGAGACATAGTCTCGCGTTGTTGCCCAGGTAGAGTGAGTGCCGTGGCGTCAGCCAAGCTCACAGCAACCGTCAACTCCTGGGCTCAAGCCATCCTCCTGCCTCAGCCTCCCGAGTAGTAGCTGGACTACAGCATGTGCCACCATGCCTGCTCATTTTTCTATATATATAGTTGGCCAATTAATTCTTTCTATTTATATGAGAGACGGGGTCCGCTCTGTGCGTCAGGCTGATTTCAAACTCCTGACCTCGAGCAATCCGCCTGCCTCGGCCTCCCCAGAGTGCTAGGATTACAGGGTGAGCCACCTCGCCCAGCCTATCTTTTTCTTTTTAGACAGAGTCTCACTCTGTTGCCCAGGCCTAGAGTTCTGACGTCCAGCCTAGCTCACAGCAACTCAAACTCCTGAGCTCAAGCAATCTCCTGCCTCAAGCCTCCAGAGTAGCTGGGACTACAGGCATTGCACCACCATGCCCAGCTAATTTTCTATAAGTTTACGTTGGCCAATTAATTTCTTTCTATTTATAGTAGAGATGAGGTCTTGCTCTTGCTCAGGTTGGTTTTGAACTCCTGACCTCGAGAGATCCGCCTGCCTCGGCCTCCCAGAGTGCTAGGATTACAGGCGTGAGCCACCATGCCAGCATGCTTACCCTTTAAGACCCAACCCCAGCAGCCTTCTGGGGCTCTCCAGGTCAGCATGGTTGCTCCCTCTGAAACATGACAGTTTTTTGGTTTTTTTTTTTGAGACAGAGTCTCACTTTGTTGCCCAGGCTAGAGTGAGTGCCATGGCGTCAGCTTGGCTCACAGCAACCTCAATCTCCGGGGCTCAGCGATCTTACTGCCTCAGCCTCCCGAGTAGCTGGGACTACAGGCATGCAGCCCACCGATGCCCGAGTAATTTTTTTGTATATTAAGTATTTTTTTTTTTTTTTTTTGAACAGAGTCTCGCTTGTTGGTCCAGGCTAGAGTGAGGTGCCGTGGCGTCAGCCTCGCTCACAGCAACGCCAAACTCCTGGCTCGAGCGCTCCTTCGCCTCAGCCCCCGAGTAGCTGGATCACAGGCATTCGCCCCATCCGGCTAATTTTTTTATATACATAGTCAGTTTGTCCATTAATTACTTTCGTATTTATAGTAGAACCGGGTCTCGCTCTTGCTAGGCAGCGCCTGGTTTTGAACCCTGACCTTGAGCAACTCCGCCCCGCCTCGGCCTCCAGAGAGCTTAGGTTACAGGGCGTTGCAGCACGCGCGGCCCGGTGCCTTGTTAATATATATTTTTTTTAGTTGGTCACTAATTTATTTCTATTTTGGTAGAGCGGGGTCTCGCTCAGCGCTGGTTGTCGAACTCCTGACTGAGCAAGTCCGCCCGCCTCGGCCTCCCAAAGTGCTAGGATTACAGGCGTGAGCCACCACGCCCGGCGACAGTTTTTACTATTGCAGCAGATCTCATATGTTTTGCCCCTTATTCCTGCATTTGTTTCCTAAGTGTTTATTAAATATTTCTATCCAGCCCCTGCTTTTAATGCATTGGAACAAGCCCTTTCTAATCTTTGCATACCTCAAAGAAGAAAGTTTTTTACATAGTAGGACTTGAGGAAAGAGTGCTTAGTGCTCTCAGGAAGCTCAGAGGTCCAGTGGTGAGGAGCCTGGCTCTGGAGCGAGAGCCATGGCTGAATTCTGGCCGTGCAAGTGACTTCCCTTCTCTAACCACTGGATTCCGCATTTGAGTTATTGTTCAAATTAAATGAGATGATGCATATGCTGTGCTTGGTGCATAGTAGGCATCTAATACAACGTGGCTGTTACTACGACTCATGATCGCTGTCCTGACCCTGTTGTTGCCAGCACTGTAGAGGGCCATGCGTGGGAGAGGGCTTTGGACCAGGGCCTCTCTGAGGATCCTTCCAGTTCTGGTGCTCCTGGCCCGTGGCAGTGAGTGTGTAATAGATGTTAGTGGTTGTTTTTATCTCTAGCATTCGATGGTTGAGGAGGGGGCAGGAAAAGCCATAGTCACATCCCCAAAGCAACTCACATCCTCAGTGCACTTTTTGAAGCACTCTCCCATCTGTGATCCCAGTGGAGCCACACAACTAGGACACAGATGGCTGTCTCCATTTTATAGAAAGGGCAGCTGGGGGGTTAAATGACCTGCCCAGGCAGTGAGTGAGCTGAGAGCTCGTTTTTCTGCTGCACCTTGCCTGCCCCTTAGTGAGGCCCTCTGGGATGGCCAGACCCCACCTTCACTTTCCCCAGCCTGGCAGAGGAGGTACCCAGTAAGGGTTTGTTGAATGACTGCCTGACCGCATGCTTCTCTTTCCCAGAGGGGTAGTGGATGACTTAGAAATTCAGAGAGCCTACACACCCATCAGCCCTGCCAACACAGAAGGATACTTTGAAGTTTTAATTAAGGTGAGTTGACCCTTGAGGATGCTGTGAGACACCATGGACTGGTGCCTCCTTTGCCTGCCAGCTTTGTGAGTTTGGGCAGTCCCTCCTGATGTGGAAAAGGCCCGTGTCCTCAAGGAGGAGGCCGACTTGAGGGTGGAGCAGGGAAGGTGGGGAGAGGCCTTCTTGCTGGGGCAGGGGGCTGCTAGACCAGCAACAGAGGCATATTCCAGCATATTCTTCACAGAGTTTATTCAAAGGAGGCTCATAAGGGAAGGCTGCTCCTCCCCACCTGTTTACTCACCGTGGAGAATGAGCACCGAGCTGGGAGGGGAAAGGGGGGTCAAGTCCCCGCACACCTACTGTGTGCCATGCACTGGAGTCCAGAGGTGCATCAGGCATGGTGTCTGCCCTCGAGGAACCCTCCCAGCACAAGTGACCAGATCAGGACAATACAGCGTGACAGATGCCATGACACAGGAGGCCCAGCCCAACCCAGGGCAGCTACGGCTGCAGGGGAGGTAGGCTGGGCTTCCTCGCAGAAGCTGCGTGTTTAAGGAGCAGAGAACTAGAATGAAAATGTGGGAAGGAAGCTCTGGGTCTGGGAACAGCATGGGCAATGGCAACACAGGCATGGTTTGGGGAACACAGACATCTGCATGCAGCAGCAGGAGGGAGGGCCAAGGGAGCAGCACAAATATTAAGAGAATCAGGCAAAAGGTGGGACAAGGAGGACCTTATGCACTGAACCAACCTGACACCACCTCAGGGAGAGGTGGGCAGGGGCATTTAAGTTGGGCCTAAAAGGAATGTAAACTGGCAGTGGCAGGGGATGGCCAAGGGAGAGAGATAACCAGAGGGAGGGGTGAAATAGAACAGGTCTTCTGGGACTGTACCCAGTCTAAGTGACGAGAGGAGAGGGTGCTTATGGGGCACCTGGGGTGGAAGAGTTGGCAGAGATGAGATGAACAAAGAAAGTGCTTTGGATACAAAGCACCCTGGAGACACAAGAAATAGGCAACAAATATACAAGGATTCATGGAAGTCCAGTTATGTGGAAAAGTAATCAGGTTGAACTGTATGAAATTGCTGGTACTGTAACATTTTTGACTTACAGAAATATCAGTTTCATATGTATCAACCTAATAAATAGTTCTAGATCACTATTTCCCAAATGGAATCCTAGGGGATACCAGTATTGAAGAATAGCTTTCACATCCTTAGCCTACCTTGTAAGCCATGCATTGTTACCTCTGTTTCATTGACAAGCAAACTAAAGCGCTGCTAGCGGTGAGTCCGGGCCCCTGACTCAGACCCCAGCCCTGTCCCCAGCTCCACCTGCCTGTCCGCCTTCAGAGCCCCAGTGGTCATCCCCTCACTCACAGCCTTGGACGGGATCCCTTCATGCAAGTGTTTGCCTGGGAGAGTCCGCAAACCCTCTCCAAATGGCCTGCTTCCCCAGCTGCCTGTCTGGGTGTTTCTGCGGAAAGGATAAGCCCGGAGACAGTTCTTTAGGGCAGCTGGATCTCTCCCAGCCACAGGGCCGATTGTCTCCTTCATTTAGTGGAAAGCCTCTCTTTAGAGAGATGCTTAATTATCTCTAAGCCACCAGCTAGGAAGAGCTGGAAATGTCTTTGCACGCTGGGAGGGCAGGCGGGTTTATGGGTCTACCCTCCCGTGCTGGGAGGAGGAAGGACGCCCATTGCTCAGCTACCTTCCAGGCACCAGGCGCTGCTTCCAGCTCTTTGTTCTCATGTCTAGTTTCAACCTCATGACCACCCTGCACAGTAGATCATATTAGCCCCATTTTACAGATGAAGAAACTGAAGCTCAGAGAGATGACATCATTTGTCCCAAGGCCCTTTGGGTAATATGATCCCAAGTGGAAGGACAAAAGGTGTGCCAGTTCTGTTTAATAAGTATGTATTGAGCGTTTATTCTGTGCCAGGCTCTATGAGGGTGCTGGAGACACAGCCACAGCCGGAGTTGTGCCTCCCCCAAGACTGGGTCCAGAAAACAAAGCATGCTGGGAGACACAGCCTCCAGAAAGGCAGGAAAAAAGCCACACCTTCCCTGCCAGACCTCTTCCCGATGAGCCCAGGTCTTCCCTTGCCTTATGCAGATGATGCCCAGGGAAGTCAGGGCTGTGTCAGAGGTGGCTGTGTGTGCTTAAAAATGGGTCTGGGGCCAAAGTCCAGTGTCCCCTTCAAGCCTGGCTGTACTCTCACTCCAGACACCCTTCTAGTCTGTCTCCTGCTGCTTCCCTCACCGCCACCCCACCATGTCCACTCGCTCTTCCCAGAACATGACCCAGGCTGTCCTACCCTGACCATACCACACCTGACGTCCAGAGTCCTCTCTGCAGTCATGTTCCCATCCCCAGTGAATTCCATCTTGCCTATCCTTCAAGGTCCAGTTCAAATGCTCCCTCCTCCAGGAAGCCACCCTTGATCCCACTTCAAGGAAGGGACTGCACCCTCTTCAGAGGTCTCCAAGCACTTTATCTTTCTCATGGGCTATTAGGTAGTGTCTACCTTGTGTATGTCTGAGACTTAGGTCCCTCCTAGATTGTGAGCTCCTTAAGGGGAGAGCGTGAATCTAGATTAATTGATTGATTCTTTCATCGATTCAGATATTTATTAAGTTCTTTCCATGGTTCAGATACTGGCTCACTTCATGGCACTTAAGGGCTAACTATCTCCCCTGCAGCCCCAGCGGGTGCCTGGCAGAATTGGCAGGCACCCAGAAAATGTAGACCGCCCTCCCCCAAGGAGGAATCTCTTCTACAACCTTCATTTTTATCATCCAGCCAGGAAATGGTGTGGGATAATGCAGAGATTGTAGATATGTAGCCTGAAAACTGAATCTGGCCTACAAATGTATTTGGTGTTGGCCTATACATTGATATTGTAGACATTGCAGAAATGGGAAGTTTTGGCCAGGCATGGTGGCTCACACCTGTAATCCCAGCACCTTGAGAAGCTGAGATGGGCGGATCAATTGAATACAGAGGTTTGAGACTAGCCTGGGAAACACGGTGAGACTCTGTCTCTACAAAAAATAGAAAAACTTAGCCAAGTGTAGTACTGTGTACCTGTAGTCCCAGCCATTTAGGAGGCTGAGGCAGGAGGATTGCTTAAGCCCAGGAATTTGAGGCTGTAGTGAGCTATGATGGCACCACTGCACTCCAGCCTGGGCAACAGAGCGAGACACTATCTCTAAAAAAAAAAAATAAAAATATGAATTTCCTGCCCCTCTTAGAAAGTCAGTAGATCTGGTATCATTGACCTCACAAATGATAGGGTGGAACCTGCACAGTGGCTTGTCCCTTTAAAAGGAACATTCACTCACCAATTTATCACAGTTCCCACCACTTCCCACTGTCTCCCTGACACCGAGATGGAGTGTTAACTGTTGGTACCTGTGTGGTCCCTGTAGGTGTTTGGGTGGGAGACGTCTATGGTGAAGGCTGTAGGTCCTGTGGGTTCTCATCCCAGCTTTGCCTTCTACCTTCTGTGTAAGCTTCTGGGCCTTGTCTGGAAATTGGGAATGCATTCCAACTCTGTAGGATGAGGAGGGTGAAATGAGAACGCAGGCAAAGCACTGAGCATGCAGGGAGGGCTCCATGTTACTGTCCACTGTGGTCTGTGTTGGCAGCATGTGCCTGTCCACTGAGGTCTCCCTGTGTTTGCTTTCAGTGCTACCAGACTGGGCTGATGTCCCGGTACGTTGAGTCCTGGAGAGTAGGAGACACAGCTTTCTGGCGAGGACCTTTCGGAAGTTTCTTGTATAAACCAAACCAGGTGAGTACCAGCACCCTAAGTCTTCAGGAGGCCCCCCTTGGCTTAGCCCCCAGGGCTGTGGTTTTCACGTTTCGGCCCATACGGTCTCACTGTGCCATTTTCATGAGTTCACACCCCATCCTGAGTGTATCCTTGGGGTTGGGCTAGGGAGGAGAAGAAATAGACACTAATAAATAAATGACACTGTCTGCCCATGCTCCAAAATTATCCAGGGCTGCCCATTGCTCAGAATTCAAACCTGCGTGCGTGGTGGTCAGGGCCACTACGTCGCCTGACCCACAGGTGCCTTTCAAGTTTCACATCTGGGTCTCAAGACTAAATACATCCCTAGATTCCTACTTGGGAGCCCACTACTTCCTAGCTTGGAAGATTCTTTCTCTTATTTTCATGGCATATAAATCCTTTCCTTCATTCCCGGGAAGAATGCATATCTGGAAAGCAGTTTGGCAGTATGTACCAGTAGCCTAAGAGTCTTCAAATCCTTTGATTTAGTAATCCCACTTGTGGAAGTCTATCCTATGGAACGAATCCAAAATGCTGACTCTTTTGCATATGTTCATTGCATATTTATTTATAATAGCAGAAAATTGGAGACAGCTGAACACCCAACAACAGGGAAGCAGTTAAGAACACTGAGTCACAGGTACTTGACTGAATAGTATATCCTGGATTTTAAAGTTATGTTTATAAATGATGTTATATGCAATGATCAAGTGACAAACACTAGGTATAAAACTGAATCTGCAACAGGTTGGGAAACTAAGTTAAACTGCACAGAAAAGGTATGAAATGAAAATGCAGTGAGTCTGTAATCCTAGAACTTTGGGAGGCCGAGGTGGGAGGATTGCTTGAGCTCAGGAGTTCAAGACCAGCCTGAGCAAGAGCAAGACCCCGTCTCTACTATAAATAGAAAGAAATTAATTGGCCAACTAATATATATAGAAAAAATTAGCTGGGCATGGTGGCGCATGCCTGTAGTCCCAGCTACTCGGGAGGTTGAGGCAGCAGGATTGCTTGAGCCCAGGAGTTTGAGGTTGCTGTGAGCTAGGCTGACGTCACGGCACTCACTCTAGCCTGGGCAACAAAGTGAGACTCTGTCTCAAAAAAAAAAAGAAAGAAAATGCAGTGAAATGTTAACAACTCCAACTATGGTGGAATTATGGGTGATTTTTATTCATTATACCCTCCAAATTAGTTGCAGTGAACACCTATTACCTTTATAATTAGGAAAACAAAGCAAAATGAAAACAAATGAAAAAGAATGAATCATGCCTTCCTCTTCATTCTTTTTGTTTAATTTAAAAATAGCTTTTATTTTTTTTTCCATATTACAAATGTAGTATATGTACATTACCCAAAAAATCATCAGATAAAGAGAGACAAAAAAGAGAAAATTAAAAATACCTGCTAGCCAGCTACCCAAACACACCAATCTTACTTTCTTGGTATAGCTTTCCAAATCCTCTTTGGCATGGGTGTATATACAAACATGCATGTGCACACACACTTGTATGTATAATAATATCAAACACATGTGGCACCTCCTGTGTGCTAGGCTCTGACCTTAGCACTTGCTGTGTAGTAACTCAGTCTCCTCCACAGCTCTTTGGGACCACAACCCCCATTTTCTAGATCCGTGGTGTGCAGATGTTAATATTCTTCCACAGTATTCTCCCAGGACTCCCCATGCTGAGCCTGGCATTTTAGCTAAGTGTGCCCCTGTGTCCCTCATGCCCTTGGGAGCAAGGAATGGGAATGGTTCCTGTTTCCTCCTGGCCGAGAGTGAACACCGGACGAATGTTGTTTTGACCACCTTTTCTGGGCAGAGCCTCCGGATGCCTTGTGTCTGCTCCTTTGCACCCACAGAGCACTTGAAAGCCCCTGCGTGTCTCATCTAGGGAGGTTGCAGGGCCTTGGGCCTGGCAGTGAGAAAAAGAAATGGTGTCTCGAACACTAATATTTGGCCACTGAAATTTCGGCCGAGTCTTGGTGCTGCTCCCATGAGGACGCTCAGGGTGCTCCTGCCCTCTTCCGGGCCCTGTTTTGCTGCTTTGCTGTGGTCTTCATTACAGATGGACATTACGTGAGCTCTGAGGACTGGCACGTTAGCATCTGCCTGTGCATTCACTCAACAGACAGACACAAGTGTCCCCCCAGGGCCAGGCCCGGGCTGCACTCTGGGGACCCAAGATGGGTGAGACGAGGCCCCTGTCTTCCAGAGGCTCACAGTCTAATGGGGAGACACACAAATGCATGACAACACAGTGTGGCCAGTGTTGTTCAAAGGGATACACAGAGCTGGAGGAACACAGAGGAAGGGCCCTTTTCCTGCCCCCAGCTCAGTGAAGGTTTCCCAGAGGAAGCCCGAGCTGAGATGGCAGACAGAGGAGTGTGGCGGGGTAAAGACCTGGAGGCGGGGGAGAGCACAAATACAGGGTCAGGACGGTGTGGCCCAGCAGTAGCTGATGGGGAATTTCAGGGGGAATTTGCAAGGGGAAGGAACCTAATTGGATTAAGCCTAGACTCTGCACCTGGCACTTTGTATCATCTCTTTTAATGTTCACGGCAATTCTGAAATAGGTGCTACCGTGTTTCCCTGAAAATAAGACCTACCCATAAAATAAGCCCTAGCAGGATTTCTAAGCATTTGCGCAAGATAAGCCCTACCCCGAAAATAAGACCTAGTGATGGCCGTGGCTACACAGTGTATCTGCACAACCCGTGCATTTCATCGCAGAGCGGTAAAGAAGACGAGCAGCCCTTCTCATCTGCCCCATCGTGATAGCTACTATCCCAGAGATGACCGGAAAGGTGCGGGCAGCCCCACCAACAAGGTTGGCTCCCCCTGTCAGGTCCCAGCCATCCTGTGCGTGCTGCAAGCTGAGGCTTTGAGGGGAAAATAACACATGCCCTGAAAATAAGCCCTACTGTGTCTTCTTGAAGAAAAATAAATATAAGAGCCTGTCTTATTTTCAAGGAAGCACGGTATTATGGGGAAATGCTATTTTTTATCAGTGCAGAAACTAAGGCTCAGATCCTTGAAAGAACTTGCCCAGGGATTTATACCCAGAGGCCTAATCTCTAGAATGAAGGTGGTGAATACCTCTCTGCGTGGGTCAGGCACTAACCTTTAAGGCACTGATCTTAAAGAGGATCACCCCTCATTAAGAGGCCTAGAGCCAGGAAATGGGTTCAGTGAGGAGAAGTTGATGGAACTGGGGCCTCTTGGGATGGGAACTCACCTTTTTTGCATGCATCTTTTGTGCCAGTGCTGTGCTAGCACTTATGTTTATTATCTCATTTAGGCTAGAGAAGAGCATGCTCAGGAATCTAAGAGGGGGACCCCTAAGATCTCTGCAAGGCTGCTCTGGCAGAGGAAGTACCCAGAGAGCAGGGCTGGGACAGGGTTGGGAGTGGGCATGGCTTTGGTGGGAGAGGTTTCAGCTCAGTGTGTGAGGTGCGAAGACCTCCCTGGCAGGGGGAGTTGCCCTACAATAGAGCAAGCTACCTTGAGAGGTAATGAGCTCCCTGTCAGCAGAAGTATGTGAGCAGAGAGTTTTTATTGAGATGCTTTAATAGGCAACCAAGCCATTTACAGGATGGGCTACTCTGTTATGTTCCCTTTTAGCCTTAAGATTCCGTAGTCTCTGTTACCCAAACCTCACATGTCTTTCAGAAGCAAGGATGGCTTCCTGGAGGCAGTAGAGAGGGGATGTAGATGGGTGGGACACCCAGGAAGGGCACTGCTTTACGGTAGTGGGTGGGTGGGCAGAGACCCCCAGCCCCGTCAATCGCCCCTTCTCCTCCCCAGTATGGTGAGCTCCTCATGCTGGCTGCGGGCACTGGCCTGGCCCCCATGGTGCCCATCCTGCAGAGCATCACAGACAACGCGGACGACGAGACTTTTGTCACTCTAGTCGGCTGCTTCAAGACCTTTGAGGGCATCTACCTGAAAACCTTCCTCCAAGAGCAGGCCCGTTTCTGGAACGTCCGCACTTTCTTTGTGCTCAGCCAGGTAAGTGCAGAGTGGCGACTTCCTTCCATGACTGAGACCGCAGTGCGCTCGCAGCCATCCTGAGGACCGCTGTAGGCTCTCCGCCCAGCCTATAATACTACTCCCGGCCCTGGGGGGCACCTCCCATGTGCCTGGCACGGAAGGCAGGTATTACGTTTGTGATACAGGTGAGAAAGGAGCTCAGAGGTGAAAATACCAGCCCAGTGGTGCTGCTGGCTGGGGTGAGGCCAGGATTTGGGCTCAGGGCTGTCTGGTTCCCCAGCCCCAGCTCTCACCCCATGCTTGGCTGCCTCCCGCCACCCTCTCGCATCCTCAGTTACAGGGGCTGGGGGGTCTGAGGGGCCCGGGCAGGCGCAGTCCTCCTCTAGGCGGCGTGAAGTTCCTTGGGGCAGGAACCACGCGTCTGGATCAGCGCTCTTTCTTCAGTGCTCAGCACAGGGCCGGGCTCCAAAGTGGGGACTCCCTTAGCGACAGAGTAAACTGGATCCCAGTTCACTGTGTGGATTATGGTATTTACCACCTCAGTCTGTCCCTCCATGGGAGGGTAGCTGCTATCACACTCAGGCTGCGGAGTCTCTAGCTGGAAGGGACACTGCCTCCTGTCCTTCCCTCTCATTCCCCATCCCCTCGTTCACTCAGGTGACCCTTCCTGGGCCCTCCCCACTGGCTGTAGCGTGGAAGACTGTCTTTGCCCCTTATTTCAAACCAGGCCTTCCTCTGCCTTTGTGCACCTGCCTTCCCCAGGTCTGTAGGTTTGCTTCTCCTTCTGTGCCCTTCAGTTGGGGATCCCCTGCCAGGGCCCCTCTCCATTCTCTGTGGCTCAGGGCCAGCCTCATTGCCCTGGGCTGGGAACATCCTTCTCATCACTTTCCCCTTTGAGGCAGCTTTATGTAGTCCCTAAAGACTTGATCTTCGGCATTGTGGCAAGAACCTGGATTTCCCTTCCAAGTATTAGAGTTCCTGGGTGCCCAGAGCCAGGGCCTGTGGGCCTGTCCCCAAGGCAGAATGCTCAGTGGCATGAACATCGAGAGGGTCACGCTGGGTGAACGTTAGGAGCAGCAGGAGGTGCAGCCCGAGGGGGTGGGTGAGGGCAGGGCCGCTGCCCGAGCACCTGGGCAAGGACAGTGGGAGGAGGGCACCGTCCATCCCTAAATGCTAGCGTCACCTTTCTAGGTGAGAGAAGGAAGCCCCTTTCCCGATGAAGCCACTGCTACCTGGGGTCTGTGTTGCAAGAGGCAGAATGAGGTGGGAACCTTGTCTGCTTTGAGCAGCTGCCTGTCCCCGGTGCCTAGCACGGTGCCTGGCATACAGTGAGCACTTAGCAAGTATCTGCTCACTGAGCAAGTTCATTGAGACCTTAAAACGTGAACTGAAATTGCACTCTGAGGGTGACAGTGATGGGAACCCCCAGTCGTGGGGAAGACACATTCCTTCTACAGTGACAGGCGCAGTGGCTATGGGAGGCAGCGAGAAATGGCTGGACTCGAGTTCTGGTCCTGACACCGCCCCTGCCTCCTTGTGTGCCCGGGGGGGGGTTGTCCATCTCCTCCCTGTGTCTCGCCTGTCCTAGAAGGGTAACCGCCTGCCCTCAGGCTTGTTGTGGGGATGACGGGCAAGTGCCTGGCTCAGGTAGCACTTGGTGAGGGTTGGCTTCCCACCCCTCTGCCTCACTCCCCTCATTTGGCAGACAAGAGCTGGCTGTGTGAACCCTGAGGACCCTCCTACTAGTCACCCCCGCTACTTCTCACCTTCCCAGGAGAACTCCCTGGAGCAGCTTCCCTGGAGTTACCGGGAGAAGACCCGCTTCGGCCGCCTGGGCCAGGACCTGGTGGAGGAGTTGGTTGGCTGCTGTCGGAGAAAGCCCTTTGCACTGGTCTGTGGCTCGGCTGAGTTCACCGAGGACGTAGCCAGGTGCTTGCAGTGTGCGGGCCTCACCGGGGACTCCTACTTCCTCTTCTAGTCTGGGCTGCCCTTCCAGAGCCAGGCTGGACCTGCTGCGGGAATGTGAGAAGAAGCATAGACTGCAAGCAGAAGACGAGTCCAGGCCTGGCCCTGCTGCTGGCTTGCCAGGCAACCTCCGTTTCTCAGCGGTTCCATGGGGTTCATCGTTCCTCCTGGCATACTGCTGTGTGGAGGGAGAACAGGAGGCTGGAGGGGCTCGGGTAGGGCGGCGCCAGCCTGGAAGCAGGGAAGACTCCTCAGAGGAAGCCAAGTGCAGGCTGAGCCCAGGACAAGTAGGAGCAGGGCAGGGGAAGGGGCCAGAGGAGCTTCCTTGGTCCCTCTTATCAGAGGGCCTGTGAAGGACTCTGGCTGTGGTCTCAGCACTGGCTCAGACTAGGGCTGCCTTAGTGTGTAGGGATGACACAGGGGTGGCTAAGAGCCCTTTGCAGGAGGACCTCCCTTGCCTATGTACCTCCTGTGCTGTGAGCCTGACATGCCGAAGGCCTTGGGGTCTATGACTTGACCATGTTCTGAGAGCAGGGCAGGGCCCTGGATTGCCCAGGGCTTTCCTGCTGCAAATGGCTTCATTCTCAGTCCCCCTCTCATGGTTCTGCAGCCGGGTCTAGAGTCCTTTCCCCTACAAAAGCAGAGGCAGGAGAGGCAAACACACGCCCCTCCTTCCTCCTACAGGCAGGCGCCTTCAGCTCTGGTGCCCTGGCGACGGTTGCTATGGAGATCTAAAGATAGAGCAGGCGTCAGGAGACCTGGGTCCCTCTCCCAGCTCTGCCCACTGAGCGGCTGCTGATTCCGATCCACCCACCCTTTCCCTCTGCACCCCAGGAACCCGGCGCTCCTGGTCAGCACACTGCCATTAACGAATTCTGCTTTTCAGGGTCTGGGCTCCAGCGTGCGTGTGCCGCACCGGCTCAGGTTGGCTACGGGCAGTTCCAGCAATGGAATACTAAGCTGTGGAATAGTACACTTAGACTTTTACAGTCATAGAATTGCAGTCTTCATCGTATCCAAGCTGAAAGTTCAGGACTCAAAAAACATGCAGTGTAACAGACCTACTGTATAAATGGAGAAACCAAGGCCCAATGAGGCTAAGTGACTTGCCCAGGGTAAGACAGTTCATCCAGAGCCAGCACTAGAAGTCTTCTAGTTTCAACCTTATGTGCATAGTTCTGCACCAGTGGTTTTCAAACTAGGCTCCACAGGGCGCTAGGGTTCCTTGCATGGCAGCAGTGAAGGGACAGTCAGAGAGATCCCCAGTTTTCCCAGTTCTATTTTTATCCCATTTATATATTGGGGCTTGGAGTAATTTTTATTTGTAAAGAAAGGATTTTCCTGTCCCACCCCAAAAATTACAACAAATCTCTGTGTTATGCCATGTTCAATAAACAGCCATGACAAGCAGCTGGGGAACAGAGCCGGAGGTTTCTGACTGTTTCGATGCAAGGCTCCAGGGTTGAATAGACGTGCGGTACTATATGTGACCTCCAAGAATCATGGCAGCTTATTAAAGCCTCTGAAAAAACTGGCGATAAAGGAACTTCATTTTGTTTAACCCAGAGTTTCTCAAGCTTATCTAACTATAGAACACATCTCTATGGGTTTCAAACCCTCTTTCTAGCACAGCGTGATGAGAGTCAGAGGTCTCAAGCAGGAACCGTGATCTCTTCTGCCTAGCCTGTGACTCGGGCAAGACACTTTTCCTCTCTCAGGGCCTCTGAGGCTGGAGAGTCTTCGTCTACTCTTCCCTCTCCCTCGGTTGGCACATCCTGTTGACGCTACTCACAAACACTTGAGGACCTGTGTGGGCTCAACGCTCTTCTAGGCGCCAAGGCAACAGCAGCAAACCAGGCAGAGGCAGCTGTTTCTACTGGGAAGCTTACAGCCTAGCAAGGAAGGCAGAAATGAAACTGGTAATTCAAAAAGGGATGAGTGTTACAAAAAGGCAAGTACAGACCAGGCGTGGTGGCTCACGCCTGTAATCTTAGCACTCTGGGAGGCCGAGGCGGGAGGATCACTCAAGGTCAGGAGTTCAAAACCAGCCTGAGCAAGAGCGAGACCCCATCTCTACTAAAAATAGAAGGAAATTAATTGGACAACTAAAAATATATAGAAAAAATGAGCTGGACATGGTGGCGCATGCCTGTAGTCCCAGCTACTTGGGAGGCTGAGGCAGGAGGATCACTTGAGCTCAGGAATATGAGGTTGCTGTGAGCTAGGCTGATGCCACGGCACTCTAGCCTGGGCAACAAAGTGAGACTCTGTCTCAAAAACAAAAATAGGCAAGTATAGAGTGCTGGGAGAGTGGATGGCAAGGGCTTTAGGCTAGCCTGAGGGGGAGGGGGGCCAGGGACATACTATTGCCACTGAGATAGAGGCTTCAAAAGTAATACTGTCACTCATAATTAAGGGTGTTAGCGGGTCCCTACTTAGGGGATCGAGTATCTGGGGTAGTTCTTATATGTCTGTCCTTGTCTCAGTTCAGATACTTGTGTAGATGTTAGGCAAGGCCACCCAGTGGTGACTGCCAGCGCTCTTGTCCTGGGATGCGTTCCCCTCCCCGTCCCCGCACTCCATGCAGGGTCTGCGCAGTCTGCTCGGCTGGGATCTCTTTCCATGGGACATTGGTGATGACCCAGCCATGCTGTTGGTCCCAAGATGCCAAAAGGGCTTTTATCATCCAGAAACTTGAGAGCTCACGGCTGGGTGCTAAGCAAGACCAGGAAGAAGAGGACTGGCTGAGATGTGTGAGTTTGGGCCTCTTGGAATTGGGGTGAGGGTCCCATCAGCTGGCCACTCCTGCTGTCTCTCTTGACGATGGCCTGCAGCATGTCCGTGTCGTGGGAAGTACGCTGCCAGGGTGATGGCCACTACGTGATGTGGCAGTGGGAGATGGGAGACTTAGGAGCTACACATGACACAAAGGTATCAGGAGGTCAACAGAGTGGCCACAATTCTGTGAGCCAGACAGATGTGTCTTTTGTGCACAAGTCCAAAACTTCAGGACGGCAGCATCCACCAAAGGACCTGGGCCCACATTCTCTTTAGTTCCGCCCTCACTGTTTTGCCTGCACCATTTCTGCATTCCCCTCAGGGGTCTGTCTCCCAGCTCCCCCGTCTCTGCCCCCACACTGAGACCACACAAGCCTGAGCCTGTGACTCCCCTGCTGGAAATCCTTCAATTTTTCACGGCAGCTGTGGGGATTCAGCGTCTCAGCTCTGCTCACTTCTCCAGACTGACTGATGCTCTGCCCCTCACGCCCACCTGTCAGGCTCCAGACACGTTCCGCATGGGTCCGTATCCCTCTGCTCACCTTTTTTGCGTTGTTTACTGAGCTCTCAGCTCAGTGTCACTTCCCTGGGGAGCCTGGCCTGCCTGTCACACTCCAGGTAGATCAGTGAGCAGAAAGTCTTATGTGTTTTTCCATTGCTGCACTTGGCAGACTGTCTGTTTGCATGTGAGCACAACAAGGGCCTGTCCACTGTGTCCCCAACGTGGGAAGGTGCTCCGTACATCCTGAATGTCACCTGCCTAAGCCATGAACGGCTAATACTCATCGAGTACTTACAGGTGGCAAAAGGCTTTGCATCTACATTGAAGCAAGGACTCTTCACCAACACGCATGCTTTTTACTACCCCAATTTACTGATGAGCAAACTAAGCTCCTGAGACATCAAGCAATTCTCCAAAGTCACATAGGGGACACAAATTCCAACATGCTGTAATCGTTGTAAGGGTTGTATGTGATACATGAGAGCACCCAGAGTTGTGTATGAAGATCTTTATTGCTGTGCTATTTGAAACAGCAAAGACTAAAAACTGCTTTTATGTCCATCAAACAGAGGGTGGACAAACACGGTTCTATACTCACACAGTGGAAACCGCACAGCAGTTAAAATGAATGAACTGGATCTACATGTCCCAACATAGACCAAATCCTAAAAGCAGAATAATTGAGCGAAATGCACGTTGTAAAAGGATAGGGATGGTAAGATATCATTACTTAGAAATTACAAAAACCCAAAATAATGGTCAATGCTCAGGAGGAGATACACCAACATCAAGGACAGTGGTGGCCTAAGGTGACAGTTAGAAGGGAATGAGATGGGGTGGAGGGGCTTTTAGTCATATCTGTAGTTGTATTTTATTACAAAAATGTTTGAAATGCACAACTGTATCAACTCCCTTTAGAGGCAAAAAATAAAAAAGTATTTAAATATTTAAAAAATTTTAAAAGTTTGAAATGAACCTGGCACAATATGAATATCTGATAAATCTGGGTAATGGGTTCCCCGATGTCTATTATATTATTTTCTTTTTCTGTGTTTTAAATAGTTCCATAATTAAATATTTTTAAAAAATATATCAAATGTGCTTGTTAAATGCTCTTCAGAAACAAGGGGCTTAAGCATTCGCCCCCTCTCTCCCACATCAGAGTAGGTGCTCCCTGTGTGCCTCCAGGCATTCTTTGGAGACTCCTCGTGGGCACCTGCTGTGTGCCAGGCCCTGCTCTAGGTGCCGGAGATGCGGCAGTAAATAGTATTGATTGCTCCTGGTCTCTTCACTGATACGCTGTTCCCTCTGCCGTCCTTCTTTACTCATAAACCAGAATGATACCAGAGTTAGACTCTTTTTTCTTTCTTTCTTCTTTGATTATTTTATTTTGTTATCCTTTTTTAATGAAACAGACCTAGGCTCAAGTCTCTCACTGATTCTGTGACCTGTGGCAAGTAACTTGGCCCTTGTGAGCCTCAGTTTGCCCATCTATGAAATGGAGATGGCAGCAGCGTCTCCTGGGGTGTGAGCATGGGGTGCAAGCCCTAAGCACAGCCCCTGGCACAGTCCCCTCCTTCCCCAGTCCCTCCTTCCTTCTCTCTCCTCTCCCTGGTGGCCCTCCCCAGCAGTGCCTGCCCATGACCGACCTCTGAGGACACCATTTGTTCCCAAACTTCACCATCAGGAGCTCCCCTTTTTATTATTTCTCCCATGCTTTGGGAGATTTTGATCCCAAATTGCGTGTTTTAAGTCATTATTAATTTATCTCCCATTTTTTATTAATCAAAGACATATAGCTGCCCCTCAGAGCCTCTGATCTGTACATCCAGCTGAGAGCTGCACATGGTTGACATAATTCCAGCCAGAGGCAAAGGAACTCAACGGTGTGTGTGGTCTGGGTGCCCGAGGAGGGTAAATGGGATGCATCTCACTCTTTCTCTTCCTTAATTGACCATGAGTTGTGGAAGCTGCTGGCCTTGCCCAGGCGGTGCTGCTTTCACAGGTGGTCCCTGACTGGTCGAGGGGGTCTGAGCGTTCGGTGCCAGGCTCTCCTGGAGGCCCCATGCTGGTTCTAGACGCCTCATCCCACAGGGCTGTCTCCAAATAGACGGCGTGCACCAGCGCCACGCAGAAGAGTGTGGGGTCCACACAGTGGGAGGTGGCAGAGCTGTCTGCATGCAGGTCCCGCAAGCTCTGGCTGGAGACCACCGTTCGTCCTGCCCCTTGCTCCCGATGCTAACAGAGCGCACTAGCTTGTAGCAACGGCCTTGACCGGGTCCTGAGTCTCAGCACTCAGAACCACAGCCCGGGGGCACACTGTGCCAGACGGCAGGCTGCAGCGGCCCACTTAGAGGGCAGGGGGGCCTACATCAGCTCCTCTGACTGGACCCGGGGAACTCCACCTCTGCCTGCCTGACCACAGAGGAACCTGGAAGGAGAGGGAGGTATGGGGGAGGGGTGTTTGCGGAAAAAGATAGCGTTTGGGCTTGAAGTCTAATGTGTTGAACACAGAGCCCTGAGTTGCAGCATGTGATTTGCAACAGTGGGATGGAAAATGGAATGCAGACCCCGGCACACAGTGTCATGAACGGTATGGTGCCGTGTGCATGGCAGAGATGAACTTCGCAGTCTACAGCAAGTGCCTGGCCCCGACTCCTCTCTGTCTTGCTGCTCCCCCAGGCCACTGGCCAGAACCTGCTCCCCGGGGATGCTGACAGGCAACAGCTGCAACTGTGCTCTCAAAGACATCGATTCTGTAAAAATGAAAACGAGTTATTGCAGTAGACATCATTTGCTGAGTGCTGAGCGCCAGGCTCTAAAATTCATTGGTTTAGGCTGGGCTGCCCCAAAGCTGACACTGAGCAAAAGATTAGGGTGCAAGAGGTTTACATGGAGGCTAGGCGTGGTGGCTCACACCTGTAATCCTAGCACTCTGGGAGGCTGAGGCAGGAGGCTCGCTTGAGCTCAGAAGTTTGAGACCAGCCCGAGCAAGAGTGAGAACCCATCTCTACTAAAAATAGAAAAAATTAGCTGGACATGCTTGCACATGCCTGTAGTCCCAGCTACTTGGGAGGCTGAGGCAGGAGGATTGCTTGAGCCTAGGAATTTAAGGTTGCTGTGAGCTAGGCCAATGCTACAGC